TATATATATATATATATATATACCGATATCAATAAAATATATGAATATATGTAACAAAATAAAATCTGTATAACAACTTATATTACAGCCTTATATTAACAATTTTTTGCAAAAGAAAGCTTGCGTAGCATAATACAAAAAGGCGTTTTGTAATATTATTATAACAAGAATTGGTTACTCTAAATTACCTATTATTATTAATAATAACTGTCAGTAATTTTTGCATATAACGCGGTCATAATTTCAATATATTGTATACTGTAATAATGTATTTATAATATAACATTACAATTATTTGTTCATATTTCAAAGTTATTATAATGTTTAACGGAAAAAATAAGTTTTAATTTTTTTAATGTAAAATTTTGTACAAACTGTGTTAGATTTAATACAAATTATGAAATTTTTTTTTCATCAGAAATTAGTAAGTTAAAATGAAATTACTTTTATGAACGTATTAATACAATAAATGTAAAGTAGTTGTTTCATAAAATATATAACAATATGTAATGTTTTAAATTGTGAAACTCGACCATATTATAGTCTTAAATTATGCGAGCAATATAAAATGATTACATACAATCTATTACATTATTGTATCATTTTTTTTCATTATCACAGATTGTTTTGATGATAGGCCTGTTTTTTAACATTCGATTTTGAAGGCCTACATCAGACTAGTAAACTTTTATAGAATCTAATGAAATTTTCGTACTAAATATACAAACCAACATCATGTTTCTAATGTTGGAAAAAGCCTTGTTAACACAAAGTAAGCTACATCATAATTACTCCAATACGTTGTATGCGCTGCTACTGTATATAAATAATTTCGTCCCAAACTTGCTCGAAGTACATAATCCAAACGCTGTGCTAATTCTAATAAACATTAAAAAATATTTAATTACAATATTTATTATAGAATCCTTGTTGCGTAAGACCGACATTTTTACCTTGTCCTGGTTGAATTGGTGTAGAAACACCTTCTTTGGCATTCCAACCAGCTCGCACTAAACCCCAAAGACTCCAACCTTTATCTGGAGCACGATTAGATATATCTACTGGACCTTCTTCTCTTTCGTCGTTTTCTGTTATAACAGTTTACAGATATGCAGGATTCATAAAGAGTTGTATTTTTAAATAAACAAAGCATTTAATGTACCTGTAGGAGAAAAAGTTTCATCGGCATTACTCATCGTTGGTAGGGACTGGTCCGTTTGTTGGCCCTCAACTCCTCCATATGGTGGAATAAGAACAGGTTCAATTTTACTATAACCTCTTTCTAAAAGAGGTTCCATTCTATATGCTACAGGATCAGACCAATGAAATATGTTGTAAAATCTTTTACATAAACCTTGAGGCATTACATCTGTTTTATTAGACGGAGTACGCGTGCGTAGCGCAAGAAATACGGACAGTGGAGAACCTAGACAAAATAGGTTTTCAATCTGCAATGATAAAAATATTTAATCATATATACTTTGTAGTTCTAATAAATTATTTCTACATCCATACATAAAGTGTATAAACATTTTATACTTCATTATTTAAAATTAATACTTACAGGAAATTGTAATCGTTGCATTAAAATTTCTTGTGTTTCTGGAGACGGAGGTCTGGTATCTGGACCCATCCAACCTGTGACAATGTCATATACAATTACACATCCTAAGGAATGTGCCAAAATTGAAACCTTTCCCTTCCAATCAGGATGCCGACTAGCAAACATAAAGTACAGCCTATTTAGCTCCTTCTGTAAACCAGCTCTTACTTCTCCACCATAAAGAGGACTTGTATAATAAAGAATGTCCATTGCTGATGTATTTAATAAATGTCGTATACTTAATACACTGTATGGTGTAATAGCTTCTACTATATCTAAACAAACAGTTGTGAAATATGAAATTTTTAATTAGATATTTAATACAAATTAAAATAAATATATATATTACTCTCTTCCTTACCACCATCAAGTTTTAATGAAGACCGCCATTCGACAGGGAAAAATTCTACTCTATAATTAGAATTTGGAAAATATTTTTGTTTTAACCAATCAACACAATCTCTAAACCTGTTTCAAAATTAAATATGATTAATTCTTCAACAATCTCATTATAAATGTATGTAACAAATTATAATTATTCATTATGTTCTTTACATACGATGTTGTATTACGTATAATTTTCCCAGTATCTCTTTTTTGACCAATTCCATGAACTACAAATACTATATGGTCAATATCATGAGGTTTATCTTCCATTGCAGCAGCAACTTTGTAGCCTCTTCTTAATTGGTAACCAGTTGCTACAACATCATTTACAACTCATTAAATTCAAATTAGATACTTTGAAATCGTACATTTATCTCCTTACTAAGAAATGTAAATAGCACTTACTTTTTGCAAAACCAAGTTTTGATGTAACACTACGCATTAATTTACTATGTCTATATTCACTGTACAATATCACATCATTTATGCTATGCCAATCAACATGAAACTCAGGAAAATGTTCTGTATGTAATACTGAAGGAGAAATATATATTAATTATAATTATATTACATTGAAATGTAAGTTGAACAAAGTAATTAAAAATTTACTTTTGTAAGAGTGAGAAGAAGTTTCACATCCAGAATTGAATTGACCTGGAGGTTGTTTCTGGAAGAGATTAAGATGAACTTCTTCTATAACTTTTGATTGTTCTACTTCTAAAGGTATCCAACTCCCATCATAATACCAAGTACCTCTCATAATTTCCCACTCTTCACCTTTAGATAAAATTAACGAATATGTTAATTATATTTGTATTTAATGATAATTCTTATGTAAAATTTTTCATACATAGAGAGATATACTTATTAATTATTTCTAATAATTTTGAAAAATTATTATAACAATAATGTACATAATATTTATTATATAATATTTGATTTAACCAATCTTAATAAAATAGAAATGTCTGCAATAAACTCAAGGACGCAGTAATCTTTAGAGTACAGATAACAACACAGAAGCTGCTTAAATCAACGAAATATGTGCATCATAAAGTCTACACTTCATTCATTACATGATAAAGAAGTAAATCAAAATATTAATATTTTTGTACGATTCACATTTTTTAATTGTTTCATCTCTGCATGAGTCATTAAAATAAAAATATATAAATTAAATAAAATACATACCTGGACAATAAATAGAAACACATTTCATTTTATCAAGTTCCACATCATACATTCCTCCTTTAACTACAATTTTTTCAACTGGAGGTGTATTATGAATTGTATTATCACTTTTGTTAAGTAAATTTTGATAAACACGCCAAGCATTTTCAATTCTTAAGCTATCATATCCACAAAACTCTACCCATCTTTTATCTACACCATCTCTATAAAACCATCGGACTTGCTCTGGAGTCAAAGGTTCTGCATACATTGGTTCATTTGTTATATTTAATGTTTCATTTTCTGTATGCGGTTCTGTAGTAACTTGTGTAACTCCTTTAAACGTTAAAATTTAAAATTAAAATAATATTATTGTTATTATTTTATAATTCTACAAGATTATAAATTTAACAATTTTTTTAACAGTATATTCATATGTTAAAATATATCTTGATTGAATACATTTATTAACAATACTTTATAACAGTAATTAATAATTTATTAATAGCAATCGCGATTAATAAGAATTTATATTATAAAAATGTATATAAATATTAAATAGAATTTTCTAAAAATAAGTGGTTTTCTAGTTTTAAATAATTTTTTGTTATATAAATCAATTAACACATTTGAATTTGTATAAATTTAATTAGACTATACCACATGTTAATTAAATATCATAAACAAATATTACAGAACATTTTATATTTAATAATTTTGCGCAATTTTATCGAATTTTATGTACAGACCGAAAGACGTAAGTTGCAAATATTTTAAGCGTATACATTAATTTCCTATTGATGACAACTGCTTCAATTAGAGAACTATTATATGTACTTTAAATCTATATAAAAAATAATATTTGAAGCATTTATACGGATAATTAAAAGCAACATTTATAATCTTACCTTCACAACTTTGGAATTCCATTGGTGTCTCGCTAAAAGGATCAACTTCAGTCCTGCTATCAGACATCCTGCTAGCCACGTTATTATTGCGAAATATTTTTAAAAATGTATAATTACGAGAATGCCCGATATTTTGCACGTAAATACTTGATAATATTTAAAATATACGAAACATAACGATTTCTGTCACAACTGATGTTAGTCACTATCGAACAATTTCCATTGAAAAAAACTTAAAATTATAGCGCACTATCAATTTGTCAACAGAAAATATTGAAAGTTCTTTGTTTATTGTTTGCAAACAATATAACAGATAACGTTGTCGTTAATTAGAATACGAAGAGATTTAATACAACATTCAGAAGTGACTGACAAGTTAGCAATAGTTTACTGCAGCAGTTGAACGTTATCTAAAATTAATGCACAGCACTTCCTTTATCAAGCATGTTCGTTCACTGTCCGTTATCTTATATAACTTTAGTCTTCTCCTGTCTTGGCGAAACTGCTGCATTTAACGATAGACAACTGGTGCACAAACGCAATGCGTAAACCAGTATGCGATATGTATGTGCGATTTACGTTCTTTTATATTGCTATATGCAACATAGATATGTGTATATGCAATGTATGCGTAAGCGCATGTATCAATAGGTTATTGAACACTATGTCCACTCTTAATAAATATGATTCATGTGAAAATTATTTAAAATAAGTAATTTAGTATAATCATACTCTGTATAAAAGAAATATTTTCTCATATAAATGAGATCGATGTAAAACATTTTTTGATACATTTTATAGCAATTTTAAAGTCTTGATTATTATTATTATACTTTTATTGCATAGTTATTTCATGTAATTGCTCTGCACGTGACACGGTCTCTGCGTCACATACAGTGAATGCACCAATTATCTTTTATGGGAGCTTATGTCTTATAATTTGAAATACCGACGTCGTCGTGTTAGTGGTTTGGTGCGCACTCTATGTCTAAGAATGGTAATTTTAGGAACTACGTCAACAAAATGATCGAAGTAGAAATCATGAATTCGCGCATTATGGCTAACTTCAGTACGTTTTCCATTTCTTGTTTCCCATTGCTGTACTATTTCCACTTCGTCGGTCATATACACAGTGGGCAATATATAGGAACGACAGGAAAAAGTATAGAATAGATATGACCAAATTTAGCATTTTGTGGATTTGGAAATTTAGAAATCTGTACATTTATTATTTGAAAAATATGAAAATCGAGAAGCTTACGAATTTACGAATTTGAAAATTTACGGTTTTGAAAGTCTAAAAATTTGAAAATTTGAATCACTAGATATGTACACGCGGCATCAGAAGCAATGCGCGTTGCACTTGATTACGAAATATACTAAACCAATCAAAGCAAACATAAATTTATCATTTAGAAAATTCATTTTTTCGTGACGAGAGAAATAATGATATAGGAATATACTGAAATGTAAATATCTTTACAAAAGAGTCATTTATGTATGTATTATCTATTGACCTTACTTCCAGAATTTCACACATGTGTATTCTTTTGTACTTGTATCTAATTTCCATATCTTTGTTCCATTTGCATTTGTAAGTATACACATGTTAATAATTATCTGGAGTTCTAGGTCAATTCATAGAGATGACATCAAATTATAGAAATTGTAAAAAAATTTACAAAACAACTTTTTAGATTATATATTTATTATTACAAACGGTAATATAGATCTTTACTTAAACTTAAGTTATCTTACACATAAAGGCATATATCTATTTTTTTATCCATTAATTATTCGCTATGTCCTGCAGCTCGACGTAATAGAGCATATATTTTTTCCTTAATCCAGTCCTTGTTGTAGGGAGCATATGTGTTTGTAGATTTTTGATAAACAAGACATGATAAATCTGTAAGTTGGTCAATGAAGTCAAACAGTTGGCTGATGTCGTATGTTATGGTTGGTGTATTTGGATTTCGCCTTTTTAAATGTTCCTCATAAATTTTACACACCCCTGTATTGAGAAAAATAGCTTTTATAGACTTTTTGTTTCATAATGCAATAGCATATTTATAACTGTTTGTTACAGCATTAATTTAATTCAATCTTTTTGTAATATATAATATTGGAATAATATAATGCAGATAGTATTACCTTCCATGCATTCGTTAACACTTTCATAATCAGAGTATGTTCTTGTTTTAGGTCTATTGCCAGGTTGTACAAGTAATATTGTGTGAGACTAAAAATGTAAACAACATATTAGGTTTGTTTTATCTGTACACAGCAATGTCATTTTATTTAAACCACTTATCTATTAATTTGTTACTTTAAAACAACACAATTATGTTACTAATTTACTACATAAATAATACTTTCCCTGTATAAAATTTTGTTGGTTATACGTAGTTAGTAAAAAGAAGTGTCAAGAAAAATATACAAATTAAGAATTTAATCTAACAATAATAATATAATATTTTAAAGACAAATGTTTATAATTCTTGTAATTAACATTAAATGGTACAATAACATTGTCAAATTTAAAATCACATGTAAACGGTTTCATAGGTTTAAACTGGATGAGAACGACGTCTTATTTGTTAATATAAGCAAGAAACAGGAAAGAAATTTAATTATAAAAAACACAAATTCGACTTCGAGTAAATAAATAATAAATGTAATAATCACATCATAAAACGAGTCAAAACAAAAAGATGATTACCATCTCTTACTCCTGTTTCAAGAACAATCCACTAGATTAGTGGAGTTCACTATTTCTTACAAGTTTTAATACTTTGTCTGCAATAGCACGACGTAACAATAGATTAAAACTCTAAAATTTTTCTTGTAAAAGTAACATGAAAACTTTTAAGATGGACTCTAGAGTTTTCGATGATACCATTCGACAGCTTGGAATATACTGTATTCATTCCTACATATAATTCGTTTCACAGAAGATCGTGCTCCATTCGCGCAACTCGCCTAACTTCAGAGATCTCCCTACCACTTATTACATTCTCGCTACTATTCGCTTTCTACTCTATCAATTATATATAAGGTGAACGAAAATATGTGAATATGAAGAGAAGATAACTTGCTACACAATGCAGAAAATAAAAGATCACTTGATATACATGATTGGAATCGTGAATGTTACAAAGGCGCTTGCGTATTGCCTTTAGTTACGATATATTCTATAACCAATAAAAATTAACGTGCGCAGAATGATAAAAAATTCGACATTTGATGAGTATGATCATCTGTGGAATGAAGTATATATGCAATGATTCAATTCATTCCACGCGTTCAAATTTATATGTGCGCTTACATGTATCAATTTTGAAATTAATATCCTACTTTTACATCTACTAATATTGAAACATGCATAGCGCTTTTTTAATATTAATCTAAAAGTTAAAGTTAATAATTCAATAAATATTTTGTAATTATAACTGTTTAATTACAATAATCGAAATAAATTGAACTATGAATAATCCTTAGTAATAAATTATTATAGATAATTTCTATTATTCTAAGGGAAGAAATAAGACTTTATTTAACAGATGTTATCCTTGTATTTTATATTAAATTTAGAAGAACAATGTTTAATGAAAAACATATAATAATTCTATATCTTCTTAGACTATTAATTTTTCTTTGTTATATAAATAATACTGTTCCATTATAACAATATTTAATTTGTTATAAGCGCAATTATTTTTGTTATTAATAATTAGCTAATTATTGAAATGTAAAAAGATATGGGTTTTTTAAAATGATATCCGTTAGCTGTTGTTTTTATGAAATGTTGATAATTCCGTTGAAAAGCAGCTTGAACATAGTTCAGGTTGGCATGTCTCTTATTACAATATATATCTACGTGAGTCGTGACACAAGTACGCGTATTCAGATTTTCGTGAATTCAGAGGCGGTTTTCTTAAATCAAAAAAATGTTAGCTAAACCGGAATTAACAACTGAACCAGCATGGACTAAATTACAGCAGTATTTTGATAATACGGGATCAAAAATTAAAATATTCGATCTCTTTCAACAAAATCCTCAACGCTTTAATGACTTTAGGTAAGTTTCATCAGTCCTTGACATATGACCTTGACATGACCTTTTGAAGGTTGTTCGCTGATAGTTAAATTCAAATTTTTACAATAATGTCATTCACGATTGTTTATAGTATTTAAGTAAATAGTGTTGTTTTACTATTCTTTGAAGTACTAGTTATTCTAAAATAGCTTACATCATCTTTGATACCTTTGAAACTTGCTATTTAACATGTACTGTTAAATGTCTTAATAAATACAAATTAAATAATTCTCATATAGTTCGTTTTAAATTTGTTAAGAAGAGAATTTACAATAAGGATATTGTAATTTACTGGTTTTTAAATATGTATTATACAAACAATTTTATTTATATTGTAATTGTTAATTAGTCTAGAAATTCCTACTCCTGAGGATGGCCCAATTTTACTTGACTATTCTAAGAACCGTCTTACAAAAGAAGCATTTCAGTTATTATTGGACTTGGTATGTATTATAATATTATATAAGTATTAACATTATTCTTCAATAATTATATTTGGATATTCTATATTCACTATCATAGTTATATTAATTTTAACATAATTTATTGATACAAAGGCACGAGCACGTGGAATAGAAGCTGCAAGAGATGCTATGTTTAAAGGAGATAAGATTAATTTCACTGAAAATAGAGCAGTTTTACATATTGCTTTACGTAACAGAGCTAATAAGCCAATACTTGTTGATAATAAAGATGTAATGCCAGATGTAAATGCTGTGTTACAGCATATGAAGCAATTTACTAATGAGGTAAAATTAATAAATACAATTTGATTTTTGAATACTTCTTAAACACTTTACATTCTTAACTTATGTTGAATTTAATATATACTTTCTCTGCTATATAGGTTCTTTCAAAGCAGTGGAAAGGTTTTACTGGTAAACCAATTGAAGATGTTGTTAACATAGGTATAGGTGGTTCAGATTTGGTATGTAATATTTAAATAATTATCATATCTTTTAGATATGCATGTAACATACATATGTTTTGCTCACAGGGTCCACTGATGGTAACTGAAGCATTGAAAGCATATCATATTGGACCACGGGTTCATTTTGTTAGTAACATAGATGGAACACATATAGCTGAGACTCTCAAAAAATTGAATCCTGAAACAACTCTTTTCATAGTAGCATCAAAGACATTTACAACTCAGGAAACAATTACAAATGCTACTTCTGCCAAATTATGGCTTTTAGATGCTTTAAAAAATGTAAGCAAAGAATAAGAGTAAATAATTTGAGTGTGTTATATACATGTGTAATTATCTTACTTAAAAATTATTATTTCACAGGATGCAGCTGTGGCTTCTCATTTTGTTGCATTATCTACCAATACACAAAAAGTTAAGGAATTTGGTATTGATGAAAAGAACATGTTTGGATTTTGGGATTGGGTGGGAGGACGTTATTCGTTATGGTCGGCCATTGGTTTATCAATTTGCTTATCTATTGGATTTGAAAATTTCGAAAAATTATTAAATGGGGCACATTTTATGGATCAGCATTTTTGTAGTGCTCCATTGGAAAAAAATGTAAATAGTTGTATGGAATATATTTATTATAGACTTAAATTTATAGTATATTTAATAAAATATTACTTCACAGGCACCAGTCATATTAGCTTTACTTGGTATATGGTATCATAATTTCTATAAAGCTGAAACACATGCATTATTGCCGTATGATCAATACTTACATAGATTTGCTGCATATTTCCAACAAGGAGATATGGAGAGTAATGGAAAATATGTTACACGAGCAGGGAAGGTTGTTAATTATAGTACAGGTAAGTAGTTTAATTATTGAAGTACACTGTTAAAAAAATACAACTTCCTAAATTTATCATTGAATATGATATGACTACATATATTCCATGGGAACTCTTAAGGTCCAATTGTCTGGGGAGAACCAGGTACTAATGGACAACATGCATTTTATCAATTATTACACCAAGGTACAAGACTTGTACCTGCTGACTTCATAATTCCAATACAATCGCACAACAAGGTATTATCATAATTAGTCCTAAAAACTCACTTTTTGTTGAAAGAAATAACATACAGGAATATTTCAGGTTCAAGGATCTCTTCATCATAAAATATTACTTGCAAACTGTTTCGCACAAACTGAAGCTTTAATGAAAGGTAAAAGTGAGAATGAAGCGCGAGCCGAATTGGAGAAAGCAGGAATGAGTCCTGAACAAGTGAACCTCTTATTGCCCCATAAGATGTTTGAAGGAAATAGACCATCTAATACAATTCTTGTTGAAAAAGTAACACCGTTTGCTCTTGGAGCTTTAATAGGTAAATTTAGTGCATTGTATTATACATATACTACAATATCATTTAAACAAATAATTTAAATTGATTATCCATTTTATCTTTTAAAGCTATGTACGAACATAAAATCTTTGTACAAGGAATCATATGGGATATTAATTCATTTGATCAATGGGGGTAAGTAATAACTTTATTTTTAAATAAAAATTTTTAAATATATAGATATTAATTTGATCAATTTCATGTAAACAGCGTTGAATTAGGCAAACAATTAGCAAAAGCGATTGAACCTGAATTAGCAAGTCCTGGAGAAGTTACAACTCATGATTCATCAACAAATGGGTTGATCTCATTTGCCAAATGTCGTTGTGGTGCTTAATGGTTATTGAAATTAAGAGCATAAAAAAATATTCATATTTATGAAGGTAACTTTTTAATATTGCTGTTGGTGATTATTCAATACAATTTTTATTCATATCAATGAATAAGATTGTAGTACAAATATTACATTAGTTCAAATGCATTGTAAATTGTTAAATGATACATAATATATAATTATTACCTGCCAACAATAGCCTACTGTTTTGTGTTTTTGTTTATTAGATTGTTACTTTTATAAACGTTTAATAAATATTATAATTATACTATATTTTAAGCTATTTATACAGTCCAACATTTTATGTCATTATTATATTTCAACATTTTCATTGGTTTGTGATTAAAAATTTAATGTTTGATAAATAATTTATAATTTATAATTTTATTTTGTAATTGTGAAGCGGTTATTTAATATAAATGAATATTCATTTGAATGAAAATACATTTAACGTTGACAAATAATGATAATTAGATAATAAAATATAAGAATACGTTTACCTATTATGCGATTTTGTTGCATATTCATGATTGCATATTCTCTAATGCGTAAGATCAACAGATACAGTAGATAAAGTTTGACCTCTCCAGGCAGCATGGTATACTGTTCATGTGAAGAGTGTGGGGGTGTGGTTACTCATTCTATAAAAACGTATGTTCTGAACGATCTCGATAAACAATGGAAATTTTTACAAAAAAGTATTTACATTTCGAAGAAAAAATATTACAAAGTCTGAAAAATAATGGCATTGAATATCGGTATGTTCGTTGTTATTCATACAAATCCAATGTGAATGTAATATAACTATGTGACATAACCTCGAAATTTGTTAAAGTGTTCTAAATTATTTATACAATATATTTATATTTTATATGTATGAATATTACTTGTCAGTTAATTGAAGATTTTATTTTTATTAAAGAATAAGATTTATTTTTAATTATTTATAACATATGTCAATTTGAAATAATGCGTTTTCAACTACTGTATTTTAAATGTATTTTAATAAAGTATATGTGACATGTTACATAAATTTTATATATTTATATAAATAAATATTTTGGTGAAATTTATTAATGTATTAAAGTGGAAAAGTTGACTTTATTAATGCTCATACTACAATTTAATTGGAGGAAATATTTATTTTTAATAAAAACAAATTATATTCAATATTGATTAAAATATTTTCAGGGCAAAAGCGAATGGTGGATTATGGCTTGGAACCTTAGTAGGTTTAAGTGCAATATTAACTATATTAAAAGAAGATAATAGCTATTCTGAAATTTGCCTCATTGTAGGCGTTACAGGCATTGGTCTTGTTATTAGTTCTATATGTCTGTATACAAAATTATCAACAAAAAAAGTTACAGTTAAAGATTTTCAAGCTATATATTTTTTACCAGCTATAATAACATCAATGTTATATCTTCTTATAGCAAATAAAGGTATATCAATTTACAGATTATTTTTTACAATTTCATTCAGCAGAATAATTTATGCAATCATCATACTTATTATATTTTATGTACATATTATGTTGTTTTGAATTCTTATTGTTCACATTTTCATTAAACAAAACACAAACATGCATATCATATTAATTAAAATCAAATTTTTTAATTTATTGATAAATAAGAACAGGATTACTGGTGAGCGTGATATGGGGCTTAAGTGTAGGAAGTTTAGGTACATGGGGTGTTCTCCAATTGATGTCCAAATTTCCTCATTGTTTTACAATTGGGGAAGCAACAGCAACTATGCATGGTTGCATATTATTTTTAATGTCTGTTGTAACAAACTTGCCATTAAGATATCATCTACCTCCTATTCATGATGATGATATTGCAACAGTTATATTACAGGTATTTTGTAAGAAATTTATTGAATTGCATATAATTATTAATTTAATAATATACTTTTAGGTTGCATTGTTGTATGTCATATCAATCTGTTTGATATCTAGTTATTTCTCAATGTTTCGATCTACTAGAAACTTTTATATAATGACATTCACTCTTTTACTACTTGTAATTTTGCCATTAATGTATATCATACTGGATCAAAATCCTATAGTATGGACACTCTATTTTATTTTTAATAAAAAGAGCAAGGTATGTTTTTACACTACTTTACAGCATTTATTATATAAGCATTGAATTATTCTTAATAATTATGAACCTTCTAGATTATTTTACTTGGATATTGGGCTATATGTTTACTGCTAGGTGTAGTAGTAGTTGCATATCAGATATTGTTAAATCATCAAGCAACAACTTCAATTAGAAAAATGTTTCATTTATTAGCTGTACTTGTATATGTACCTGGTTTAATTTATGAACCACTGTTTCTGTATTTTGCTAGTGGCATTGTAATGGGATTATTCGTATTTCTTGAGGTATATTAACTTTTTATTTATGTGAAAAAGTTATGAATTTAATTGCTTTTTGGTTTATGTCTTTAAAAGTATAAATCAGTTACAGTAATGATTTATTTTTAGTTATTAAGATATTTACGAATACTGCCTCTTGGAGACATATTACAACAAGGATTTTCTGTGTTTGCTGATGAAAAAGATCATCTGATTTCTTTAACACCTTTATATTTACTCAGTGGTTTATCTTTTCCACTTTGGATGCCTACCAATAATCTTCCTTTAATAGTATTACTCAGTGGTATTTTGACAGTTGGAGTGGGTGATACTGCTGCTAGTTTTGTTGGTAGCAAATGGGGCTCTCATAAATGGAGCAATTCAGATAAATCTGTTGAAGGAACAGTTGCTTGCATTCTTAGTCAGATTGGATTAATATGTTTATTAACATTTGCGGGTATGTATAGTTTAAATAATACTTTTAAAAAATAAGTAAAAAAGTTGCTTCATATATCTGCATATTCTTTTTAAATAGGTCTCACAGATAATGGTTTATTATTTTTAAGAAGCTTGTGGTCAAGTGTAATTCTATCATTTGTTGAAGCACAAACAAATCAAGTTGACAATTTAGCATTACCTTTGTTAATGTATGTGTGTCTAATGGTTTAGGTGTATAATAAGTACAAATGACGAGACAGACAATAAATAGTAATTATTTTCAGAACAATAGGAATATATTACGATTTTGGTTGTTTAATGTTATATTAAATCAAAAGCGTAATATTCTTCTATTAGATTCACATCTTTATATGCTTCTGTATATTTAAAAGATTAATATGTATTTTGTTGTATGTACATACTATGCCTTTCTCAAAGTGTTGTAACAAATTAGTTTTTTATGAACAATTTAGTTACTAGTCAAAGTTGGAAAACTATTGGCTCTTTTTGTTACTCTTATTATATTTAAAAATGTTATGTTCCAAATGGAAAAGTTATTGTTCTCAAACATTACTTTGTTAAATGTTAAATGTACATGAATATTAAGGTGAACTTATTTATACAAGTTTATTTAAATAACAGGATCTATTGTGAAATATTAATAATCTCAACTTATAGATGTACACATAAGTGTCTTGAAAAGTGTGAATATTTATACTGTCAATTCATGTAACTCAATATTCTGTAATGCCCAATTTACTCATTCCTATAAACGCATTTTTGTATTTCATTCGAAGAAATTTGTGAATGAAATTTACTTTTATTAATAAAGTATTTTTGTAATTGTGTATATATTGTTCATGTTTGATCCTTCTTTTACTTGTAAAGATAGGTGATTAAAAAAGAGTGATTTGATAAATAGTTTTATTTTAATATTTTATTGACCACACAGCCTTACAGTCTGACCATACACAGCATGTTACACGCCATGCCCATACACATACATGATATGCGAAATGCGTGAAAAGCACCGATTTCTTGCGATTCAATTTTTTATTTACAAATACTGTTAATTATAACTGATTAAAAGATCTAAATTTGTACTTTATTCTTTAATCATATCAGCAGATTTTACAATAAATTATATTTTTTATTCATGATAATATTTAATTACTTCATACAGTCTCAACGCTTTGACGTAAAAATTTGTAAGATAATGCAAATAATGAAATAAAACTCATAAACGTATTAAAAATTTTATTATATTGAAATTATTAATACACTAAACAGTAACTGAAAAACAGCAGTACAAGTTTTATTTGTTCCTAAATAATTTTGACTAACAATTATTTATAGATTTATATAAACTGATATGCAGTCATGTATTTTCTTAGATATTTTTCCTCTTAAGCTTTTTTCTATGTAGCTCTTTCAATACATATCTATGTATTGTTCATAAGTGTCATATTTTGAAACTATTGAAAGTGCCATCAAGTATTTTTATTTAAAGATTTATTAAAATAAGTAAATAAATAAAATATTATTATTAATTTATATATATTTACATATAAGAACATAAGTCAGTAAAAAATACATTTAATTTAATACCACCTAAAATTCAAATGAAAATGGTATGTGAAGCTTTAAAATATATCAAATATGAAAATAAATATAAATTCATATAGCAAAGTTAATTTCAAAATGATTTTTTATTCTAAACATTCCTCTAAATAGTGTTGACTTTCTTGTATTTAAACATAATCATTTAAAGACAGGAAAGGATTTTAATAAGATGAAATGGATCACTTTTTTATATTCCATGAATGAAGATCTGCTACATTGTAATACAAAATACAAACTACAATAAAATCATCGTTGCAAGAAAATAAGATTTCTGGCGCTCGTGCTTTTTTGTATATATGTAAATGAAAAAAGGGAAACGACATGGATCAAGAACGGTGATTTTCCAGCATTCCATACCGACGTTCAATGTGTTACAGGGTATTTGTCGATCTCGAAAAGTTGTTTCCGCGCTGATAAATCTTGAAAATCGTTAAATGATCGGTAACGAGCTCAAGGAGAACGACAGACGATATTTACGAGATGTCTTGCTACGTGCTACTTATTATAGTCGTTTCTTATATATTTATATTTGTAATTGTATAGCAATTAAATAAATATCCTGAAACTCTTGATCGTATAATAATGTCATTTTGTCTTTACCTACATCGACGATAGACAACGATGCAGATCTTCCGGCTTTTTTCGTCTCTTTTTTTTTCTACTATACTTATTGTTAGTATGTAAACTTAGCTATTCGGTGTATCTCTCGAGTCTTCTGTGATAGATCGCTATGTATCTGTTGGTTACTTTCGTTTTTTAGTGCTGATGTGTATCGTTGCTTCTTCATTTTCGATCAATTTTCTCCTTTGCTTTCCTAATCTTACTTGTCGAGCCTTGTTTCGTCCGTGTTTCTGCTATAAGTGCTGCTATCAATAATGTTATCGATAATTATTAAAAGTGACAAGTAATCGAATTTTCGGGTCTGCTCAAATCCGACTTTACCCGATTCGACCCGATTCGAATCCGAAATCTTCGATACCTACGCACTTTTATTAAATATCGATAATATTCTTATGGCAAAATTTATTTTCATTTATTTTCAATGAATTGATACTGTGCGATATAACGATATCACTAAATCGAATGATAATGACTGAAATAGAATTTAATGGAATATTCTATTAAATTTATTCATGCTTGAATTTCGAATTAAAAATTTTGGTTAGGATCGATATATCGTTAGGTATCAATGAGATCTTGATAATTTGTCGCAGCACCTTTAAATTCTTGCTCGCAAAGGAAAGATAATGGAGTGGGAAATCGGCGATAAAAGAAAAATAAAACGGTCGCTTTACATGTTACCGATTATTGACTTTAATGCAAAGATGAACTTATGTTACTTGTCAGGTGCTTTTCTTCTGAAGAAAAAAACATATTGGTCACGTTTATTGATTTAATCCAATTTAGCGGAAATATTTAAATTTAAGTAAAGTTGATGAATACAATTTAAATTATAAATTTGATATATAATTTAATTTCGAGTCTAGCGATTGCCAATGGTTCCTTGATAATCTCATTGTATGTTTATTGATATTTTAACGAGGTACATAATTGTCAGATACGATTCAACAATGTCATCGATGCTTTGTATATTTGTCTCGTATTACAATTTCAATAATCATTTTAAAAGTTAACTAATTGATTACTAATAAATTTCAACCGCTGTTATTCATCGAATAATAAACATATGGTATCAATTGCATATTTACAAGAATGTATTAAGATAATTTATAAATGTTATAAAATTTGGATTTCACTCAAATCAATTAAAACGAATAGATAAAATTTATTATGTTCGAACCAAGTATACTATAATTTTTTAACATCTTACAAATAATGTTACTCTTTAAATATTTGGGGTTTTAATTTTACATAACAAAAAATTTTTCTTCGTTAAACATTCTGATATAATAAAAATAATCGTTCGAATTACATGCAATTATTTCGTAGGAACATTCTTGTTGCTAGTCATTATAAAACTTTCACCGTGTAAAAATACACCATCAGAAAAAAAGCCCTGAACATATGTAGCAAATATTCCGTGATTAGCGATGATCGGGTACGATTAAGAATTCTAAAGTTACTTTACACTTTAACCGCATTATAGCTGATATTCTTGTACTTAGCCCGCGTGTATAAGTTATGTGCTAAAGGTTATCTATCTCAAGTTTAAAGTAACTTTAAAGTTTCGAGCCTATGATAATACTTAATCGATATTCGTTATTCATCGCAGTGCTGTATTGCGGTAAATGCGAACGGGGCCTTCAAACAAAAACTCCTTTTTACACAATTAAATTTATCACATACTGATGATCGATATTCCGAGCACACATATCCATTTAATTTTTAGCAATATATATAAAAAACTACAAACTTTCCTTCTAGATGAATTATTAATAACCTCCTTCTGCAAATATAAACATAAAATAGCCCAGCAATAATGACGGATGTATTAATATGCTACGAAATAGCAGAGTTGCAGTTTCTAATGCATTCAATTTAATCGTGTAAAGTAGAGTTAAATAATATATTTGCCCTCTGAGAATGAGTTCACGCTCTTACGATCATTTTAAGAATGACTGATCAGTATTATAGTCCTGACAAGCGAGAGTGACGGCTGAAGGGGCTTTGTAGCTTTGAGGGAGAATTGAAAAGATTAAATGAGAATAAAAAATATTAACAATAAAATCGGAAAAACACTCACCACTGTCATTTATACGGTGTAACGAAGCAGTGATCTAGCACATTTATTGTTAAAACTAAAATGAGCGTAAAATCGCATGGTATGGTTGTCTCCCAAAACTCGAGTAATGAAAATGATCATCCATCTTGCAAAATCAAAGGGCGCGATCTTTAAAAACCATTCAACAAATACAGCGCCGTCAGTTAACGCATAAAAATATAATCGAAAAGTACAATATGCATGACTCTAACGTGCGCATTGAGTATGACCTCCCGTTAATGCTGTTTTGAAAAATGAATGATCAGTAAGTACTCATGATTGTTCATAGTTTGTGGAAGACAACCTATATAAATTAAATTACAAATGAGTACAACGGGAGAAGGACCTTTGTACGTTTCCCGCCAACGCGTTTTCCACATATTCGTACTTAGAACCTCACTCTCGCCCTTTTACGGTGTAAAAGCATTTTAACAAGGACACTACATGATGCCGGTTTCGTGTTACACTCTGTGCAGTAGTATCTTTTCATAAACTATAGCGGTACGTACTAATTTCTCCATTAATAGCAATTGAAACCACAAACGGTTCGTAACTAAATAAAGTATTCGTATTTTCTTCTCTATTCAAACGTAAATTACATATTTACAATCGCGAAGCGGTTTCCATTGGCACTTGAAAACAACGTTACAATTCCTCGACCCCGTTCCACGATTATACAAAGAGGATTATCATGCTATAGTGTGAAAAAAAGATGATCATCTATTCGAAATGCAATGAATTGTAAGCAGTGTATGTATGTGTGATAATTCAATGCATCACGAAGATCTCTGTATGTTTGCTTCCCTGTCTTAGCATTCCTTACAGCTCTGTTAAAACAAATTAAAAATTTCTTTCAATATTCTCAGAGAAGTGTCTATCAAAGCTTTTCAATTATAATGGAAAAATTGATACTGAAATTTGTTTCTCAGTACTTGCAATTTTTCTTATTACATGGTGTTAAATTGCCAGTTGTTTTGCCAGTTGACGTGGAGCTATAAAATTTTGGAACAGGAACGAATAATCGCAATATTGTTTTTAAGCTTAATCGATGTTTATGACGTTTCCAGAATCGTCTCCACGTCTTGTGGTATGTGTATGTATATTTCTACAAGAATCCCTTCAAAAGTTTTTAGTAAAAGATCTAGTCACATGTTCATTTATTCATTAACAGATGTTATTAAACCTATGAGAATTTTATAGGTATTATATAATATGTGTATTAAAAAGTAATTTAATTATAACATTACATTTTTTTATGTATCTTTGCCTTCTTATTTTTCTGTGAAAAATTGATAAATTAGTGATAAATAAATTTTGAAGAGATTCCTGTATTTACATAACTTGGATCGCTTAACTCTCGATTAAGATGTTTTATGATTAGTTCATATTAACTTTACCAAAAATGACGGTCTTGGTGATTTGACAGGGTCGTGCAAAATCTGTTAAATTTGTAGATTTATATTCAGTAAAGAATTCACCAAATGTGATTTGAAATGTAATTACTTGCAACATAACATATTAACTTGTTAAAAAGGGAAAAGAACATTCTAAGTTATCAACATGTAACATCATTATTATAACATAATAGAAACTTATTACAAACTTGTTAGGATAATACCACAAGGTATAACTCTATAACAAGTTGTACAACAAGGTTCTAAAATAATATTTTATTACAGCAAAACATACCTTTGCTTATAAAGTGATAGTCTGAAACACTTAAAATTCAATTAAACCAAACAAAGTTTATTTGATGTTTAGTTCACTTTGCCAATGTTTATACTCATACATGGTATATCGAATATGTACGTAAACAAAATATGTTTTGAAAATAAATAATTCTTTTCCGCAATTGTAATGTCCTATGAATGCACGACCCTGTGTTGCAACAATAGCGTTCAAAACAATCGGTAAACGCTCAATTGTTTTTTAGTTAACTGCCTTATTTTCCTCCTCCCTTTTCATCTGGTCGGAAATCTTAATAACTATATTTATATTGTAAAGCATTTTGTATGCGTTTCTCCCGCGATCGTTTGCTACTGCAACCAATGGAGACATAATCGACGGCTGACAAGTGTTCGATTTACAGAAACAAAATGAATTATTTTGAATTTTACCAACTATTTGTTTTCAATCTTCGTTCTAGCCATAGTAATTATCATTCTGCAGTCGTTCGATGCTCCATTATTTCTTGAGCGAATTCGTCTTCCCTTTTGTAAGCTAGAAGCGCGGAGGAACTATTCTTGAGGTTAGGGCGTCGATCTATCGATTAATCGATATATCGAATTTTATCGATATTAAAATTGAAACACAGAATGGACATTTTTCAAACGGTTTTCTTTCCATGTAAACATTTTTTTAAATTTCGTGATTATTTAAAACCATAAAAAGGAAATACAGACCGTCTCAAAAAAGCATTGCGTATTTCTGCAAAATAGGTTGAATTTTATGACGTTTATTTATTTTTATTTTTGCCAATCATTCCAGTAATGATGTCAAGTTATTTGAACGAAACTCATGCAATTTCATCGAAGCACGCGATGATTTTTGAAACAGTCCGTACAAGGAGTATTCTAAATTGTAATATCGAGGCAAAACGTGTGTTATTAAATCAACGCCCACAGTACTAACAAGAAACGCTCCCGAAATGATATTTTCAATTTTTCATAAACTTTCGCACGCTGATAGATCACGATTTCCGGTGCAGTCCAATAGTTTATCTATTCTACCGTATATTTCAAATGATATATATTTTTTAATAATTACACAATTATGTGAGTTACACGCGATACACTTTCTCCGATAATATGAAAACATTTACGGTAAAATACTTTTTAACTTGTTTGCATTTAAAAGCCGTACATGTATAGGAAGATTCATAAGTGACCTATTAGATTGTAGAAGTTTATAAAAATTTAAAGATATTACTCAGAGAGTTTTGCTTGTACAGAGAAGTTTTCGTATGATCAAAGTCATTCTTCGTACACGCTTCAGGCCGGCACGTAACAGACAAGGGACGAACATTCGAACAATCTTTTGAATTAATATAACAACGTAACCCGAACAATAGAAAATCATAATGTTAAGAAACGAAATAGGAACAGATCTTAAAGCAGAGGATGACCGCTTATGTTCGAGCTTGTTGGGGTTACATGTCTCACGTTACTCGAAGAGATTGCCTTGATGTTCATCCCTAGGCTAGACCTTCTCACCGGTGCATCCGCAGTTGCATCGATCGCGGGTGGACGTGCCGCCACTCGCTTCAAGCCTAATATACATCGAGTATTAGGTTTACAAAACAGATACCCTACTTCATCGTAGGGTTTCGAGGGGTTGGATCGGTGGTTTCATAATGGAGAAGGACGTGGGGCTATTGGATAGTTGGAGACGGGATTCCAGGAAAGTCGATAGGGAAATACTAGTTACTCCCTTAATTTGTGCCATTCAGCGATCTGCCTCTGCGGCGAGCTGCAAACTTCTCTCCAATGATTCAGAGCTGATCCTTGACAATCTGGACCGCCGAACTCGAGTCGTCCAATCACCTAAAACGAAGTTATATTAATTGCAAGAACTACAAATTTTAATTATCTAATACATTTTATATTATGATATACGTTATTACATATTATTATATTATGATACATTAGTATTGTAATTTACATTAATTTTTACAATTTTAATAAATTTTGCTATGGCTTTTGAAAGTATGCGGGAACTTTTTCCTGTATTACTGATAAGATCTGTCCCAGTTTCAGAATTCGTGCGGCAGAAAACGAGCGGTAGAAATCCTTCAATTGATTTTCCGATTAAGTCATACTTCATTGTGATTTGCATCGCATTATGTAACAGAATTGTGAAAAATCACGCTAACGTCTACAGTATGAAGATTGCATAGCAGATCATTTGTTTTATGTTAGGAATGTCTGTCAACCTCGTATAAAATGGCGATATACGCAAATGGTGAAATCTATAATTTTTTTTTATTTACATTAATTCTACCAATCAATTTTTGTAAAGACTACACAAGGGTTATGTATTGATATATCTACTTGCTCGATGCCTGTAATTAGGAAAACTGTAAAACTGTTATTTCTGTAACTTTATTTTAATTTTAGTTTTAATTGTTTTTTAATTTTTATTGTAATTTCTGTAACTTTCTTTTAAATTTATTTGCTATTAATCATAACACTTTACGCCTTCAGTCAACATTATAACACAACCTTCTAAATCCTAAAATCAAATATAAAAATTATCCAAAACTATAAAAAATCAGGGGATTGAACTAGTTTGATCTCACACAAAAATTTCGATTTGTAAATGTTCGTCTTCGTTTAATTACATTCGATTCGCACCTGTTACAATGGGATTGAACATGTCAGGTTTCAATCTGATTAAATTCCAATCTGATCAACTTGTATTTGAAAACAAGTGTTCTATAATACTTAAATCTATGTCATCGAATCAGTCATTTATGAAGTACCAAAACAGCAAACATGCAGTTTCGGGATTTTGTTAAACGAATTAAAGTGAAGGCTCACCTCATTTCTTGTAACTCGATCCCAATCGATCAACATGAACTCGAGGCTGACGTTGTTGAGACCATCCGCGCCGTTCGGTATGTCGAAAACGAAGGATTCGTTGAACAGAGGGCTGAGGGTGCGTTTCTTTACACGCGTCTTTTGCTTTGCGATGCGCTGCGAGTTGTAGAGAAGATAGATTTTCACGTACGGATCTGCCAGGCCGGTTACATCCATCTTTGGTAAATTCTGGGCCTTCAGCACCACTACTGTTAATCGACTGTTGAGTGGTTGCCAGCAGAGGGACACTAGTAATTCTCCTCTGCCTTGTGACTGAATCTGTAATCATTAATACAATCATCAGTACAGCTGTTTTTTATGGAGTAATAAATAAAATTAGGCGAATTTATAGGGAAAGTATCATGTTCGAGATGCATGTTTAAAGATTTTCACATTCTGTAAAAATTAAATCGAGTTGAATTGCAAAAATTTTTACTATAAGGGTAAAGTCAGGAAACACAAATTTTAAGTTCTTTACAATAAATTGATAAAATTAGATAAGCTATCAAGTGGTAATATAGTGACAAAATATTGCTATTTGGATAATTCTTTATTAATCAATATAATTTTATTTCAAGCTTCATAATTTTTGATGTACTGGAATTTTATCGAATAAATAATTTTATTAAATTACCTTTAAGCTTCTGGGGCATATTTTCCGACATAACGATATTTCTTGGTTGTCAGCGTTCTCCAAACCGGGTATCGATGAAAGTGCACACGTCAATTCACCGATAATATCATCTCGGGAGTATCTGTCGAAACTTAGCACAATGAAGTGCAGGCTGATTTTCTGCGAACGATAAAAGAGACGTATTTCAGGGTTTGATCAATTGGTACAGGGGCGAGTATGGTTTCCCTAGGGGCAATGTGCTGACGTAAAGTCGTACCACCATTCTTCGGTTATTGATTAAATGTTTATATTTACAACTTTCGATATTTGGAAATTGTGAAATTTTATGGAGATTCGGTGATTTATGGAGAAATTATATTTTTGGAGAAGTTGGAGATTTTAAGGTTTGGAAACTTGGGAATTTCAAGTTATAGAAATTTGGGGATTTCAAGTTATAGAAATTTGGGAATTTCAAGGTTTAGAAATTTGGGGATTTCAAGGTTTAGAAATATAATTTTAGGATGTCGAAAGTTGGGATTTCAAGATTTGAAAATTGGAGGTTTCAAGGTTCCAAAATTTGCAAATTTGGACATTTCAAAATCTAGAAATATAGAATTTCAAAATCTAAAAAATTGAGAATTTCATAATCCATAAATTTAGGACTTCGAGATTTAGAAATTTGGTGCTTTACACATATAAAAAATTAGGAATCTATTTGAAAGTTTAAAAATATGAAAGTTGAATTTAAGAGTCCTTGAGAATAAAAATTTCTAAGTTACTAAAACAAAATACCTGAAGTTGATCCTTCGATATTCCGAAGAACGTGAAATCCTCGTCGTAAACAGGATCCCTGGTATTCCTGAGGACTCTCGTCTTCACCTGGTGTTGTTTATCAGGTAACAGTTTCAATTTCACGTATGGATCACTGGTGGCATTCTGTTCCCTCGCTGGCAATCCCTTGCAGTTCACTACCGTCACCCTAAGCGCATTTTGCTCGCTCACGTAGCGTAACTTAAACACTAACTGGCCCAAGTTATCCTTATTATTTTCCGTCACGTGATTTTTCTTGCGTTCCGTTTTCTCGTTGTTCTCGATTTCCGCTTTGTCCCGTTCATTCTCGATACTCAGAGTCACGTCACCAGAAGGTGTTAATGCTGGAGTACCTGTTTTCGAGGAAGCAATTTTTAATTAGAAATGCAAATCCATCATTTATTTTAAATTAAAAAGTCTTTTGGCTCGATTAGGTCAAAAGATCTCTAGGTGTAATAGATTAGTGTTAAAAGGTCGATTATTGTGAAAAGGTCTGTTGGGTCAATAGATTGTTGTTAAAGGTCTCGAAGTTCAACAGATTAGGTTCAATAGATACTGTTAAAAATATAAGCTATCCACTTTCCTCAGCACTCCTGAATCATAGCTTCATATTAGGGTGTTCATACTGATTATTGTTAAAGGTCTCTAGGTTTAACAAATTAGGTTCAATAGATACTGTTAAAAATATAAGCTATCCACTTTCCTCAGCATTCCTGAATCATAGTTTCATATTAGGGTATTCATACTGATTTACCCTACACTTGCCCATATTTACATCCCAGCCTCCCCTAGCGACCCTAAAGGTGACTCACCCACCATTTACTTTAATACAATCTAAAATACTTTCCATTAAACCTACAATGTCACATGAACCCATTAAAGCCACCAACAGATTCAATAACTAACTTCAAAAGAATTTACCAAACTTCTCAACTGTTTTAGAGTTGTAAAACATCTTTTAATCGGATTTTGCAATCTCCAAAAGTGCTAGCAATGCAAACACGTGAGTGCAAAGATCATATAGGTAATTTTCTTACGAATATCACAGTCGATTTTCTTTTTTAACAATAAACTCATAGCATGTTTACCTGAGCCCTGAGGTGTCCTGGGCTGCGAACCGGGGTTCGAAGATTGAGAACCGGTGGGACTTGGCGTCTGACCACCGGAACCCGGGGGACTCTTGGCGGGTCCCGTAGGACTCGGGCTCTTTTTCAGATAATGACTGGTGCTACCAGGACTCTTGACTGCCATTGGTTTCCTGTGGGGTGGCCTGAACGCCAAGGACTTGTCGGAGTTTAGTTTGGTGTGCTCGCGACGCCGTCGGCAAAGCCACCAGGTCATCGCGACGGCGCAAAGTAGAAAAGCGGCGCCGATGCATAGTGCCACTACAGTTGTCGTCGACACTGAAATCATACGTTATTTTATTTCAAATTACTGGTTCTGCAGGGGCAACTTCCGACTTGGCCCTCGCGGATTTCAATGAACTTCGGGGAAAATCTGGGTCGCAACATTTTACTTTTCTTCGGATTTTTAGTCTTGGATGGTGGAAATGTGTTTTGATAGAAAATTTAATGACATGGAATATTTTAGTGTATTTTTTGTTAGGTTAGGTTAGGTTGAAATTGTAATAAAACTGAACTTTTTAATAGTTTGTACCTTATCTGGTCTAAAACAAAATTCCAATAAAATTCAACATGTAATTTGTCTGTATTTTATTTGACCCAAGGTAAAATTCTAATAAAATTGAACATTTTACTTGTTTGTACCCTATCTGGTCTAAAACAAAATTCTAATAAAATTCAACATGTAACCTGTTTCTATTTTATTTGGCCCAAGACAAAATTCTAATAAAATTGAACTTTTTACCTGTTTGTACTTTATCTGGTTTAAAACAAAATTCTAATGAAATTCAACATATAACTTGTATCTATTTTATTTGACCCAATGCAAAATTCTAATAAAATTGAACTTTTTACTGGTTTGTACCTTATCTGGTCTAAAACAAAATTCCAATAAAATGCAACATGTAACTTGTCTGTATTTTATTTGGCCCAAGGCAAAATTTTAATGAAATTGAACTTTTTACTCGCTTGTACCTTATCTGGTCTAAAACAAAATTCCAATAAAATGCAACATGTAACTTGTCTCTATTTTATTTGACCAAGGTAAAATTCTAATAAAATTGAACTTTTTACTTGTTTATACCCTATCTGGTCTAAAACAAAATTCTAATAAAATTCAACCTTTTACTTGTCTCTATCCTGTTTGGTCCAACAATTCCAACAAAAATGAACATTTTACTTGTTCGTACATTATCTGATCTAAGAGAATTCTAACAGAATTTTCACTAGATTTTATTCCACATTTATCACCGTGGATTAATTAGGCTACATTATGAACGAATTTTTGTTCAATATTCGTAAACTTAATTGAGCATTATGTGGAAATTCAGGTCACGTTTATTTTGATAATGATGCATTATTGGAGAAGAGATCGATTCTGTCAGATTTTTACACGGTTTTCATAATTAATATCACGTTTGACACAGAAAACGAATATAACGTTTGGATGATTCTTTTTTTAAATTTAAAATAGTAAAAAACATGGAGACATTGTTTACAGAGTGCGTGGAAGCATGGTATTTACAGAAGGTTTTAATGTTAATATATTTGTATACATTGTGAAATAATGTTAACTTTAGATGGCTAATTAACCTTTGTATAATTAATTTAGCTATATTTAGGTGCAAACTTTGTGAAACCTTTTATGGCGATACAAGTTCAGACAATACATTTTTAATGTAATAAAAAAATAGTAAGAAGTAGTGAGTAATGTTGGGAAATATTTAATATTGGGAAATTGCACGGTTATATTAATTTAATAACACACATAGAGGTTATGTTGTTTTCTATTTATATACTATCGGAATAAATATTCTATTTTAAAAAACATGTGTACAAAATGATCATCGTAAACATTAAAGTATAATATTTTTTTCTAATATTTTTATGTTTGAATATTCTTTAATTTAGGCTGAAACCAGTAGCTACTAAAAACCTCCCCATATTGGTTAATTTTTCTCTGTTACTAATAATTGTATTATGTTTTCTGATAAAAGCATTCTAAAGGTAGAAAATATGGGACGAAGAAAAATCGAAACAGGGTTAATTATAAAAAAGAAATTGAGAAGCATGTATTGCCTGAGATACAAATATCAGAACAAGTAGTTGCAGAATAAGTAGATGGTGACATTGAACGTCAGACAAATGAAAATAAAATACAAGACCACAATAAGATTACAAGAAAATTGATAAATAATAACATTGCAAGAATTTTAAAAGAATCAAAATCTCGATGAAAAATAATTCTGGAGGAATAAAAGAAAATTTAAAAATGCTTGGAAATTAAAGATTGCCAATAAAAGACCTACAATGTACAATGATACGAAATTGAATTCCTCGTTGCAACGTGTTGCATTAATATAAAAAAACAAATAATGCCCACGCACGCAGTCATTAGTCGTTGAAATAAAAAACCTATACTCATTTGTCAAGAGGTTAAACAGAAACAATTGTTTATGTAGAAACAAGATAGAGATCAATTACAAACGAGGGTGGACTTGTTGCTGACTAAATCTTGAGTCCTGGAACAACGTTGAATCATCATGGGAAATAACTGTGCGTCTTTTACCTCGCAACCATTTACGAATTATCGATCATCAAAAACGACAGAACACGCCATAAAAGCTACAGCAATAAATCTATATTTTTATTTTACAAGTATATTTGTTTTACGCATTTGTAAAATTATTCAGATTCTAAATTCAATTGTGTACAGTTTGTTCCATAATTTAGAATAGTTGGAATAGTTACGTTTAGAATAGTTAGGGTTGTCCAATTGTAATTTGACTTCAACTACTTGTTCGAAACTTGAGATATTGATAAATATGATAAAGTAATCTTAAAGATAAATTTTAATAACATAACTTGTAAAGTACATAATGTTGATGCAAAATGAGTAAAATGATGATATGAAATAGAAAGGAAATATTTGTCTGACAATAATTAGAGTCTACGTTCCCCTAAGATATTGCCTAATAGTTTGCAGTCCTGGTCTTCAGAAAATGCTCTTACACGTACAAAATGTTACAACTTCAAATGCAATTTTCCATATTGGAAACCTTCCTGAAATCTCACGTTTCCACGTCGTTGTCATTGCAGTCGAATTTCAAAGAAACATAACAAACAGTATTGATATTACAACCTTAAAATAAAGAAAGTATCGATACTCCGGAACGCTGGAGCGTTCTTCAAGTTCACTCGTTGCGAATATACAAGAGGAGAATTCTATATTTATGACATCGATCCCGAAACGTGTAAAATTAAAAACGTATCGACTCATCTCGTTTCGACAACTCTGAGCTGGGTAAACGTAGGAGTGTTCAATATCACATGGTCTGCTATATGGACGCGACCATCGTGCACACCACTGTAATCAACTATTCCAATCAAACAATACATCAAGCTTTTCCAATAAACAGAACCAAACATAAACTACCAGAATGTATGGAAACACCCTCGGAGAGTCGTCCATCCCGAGCTGTCTGTAACAGCTGTCCACTCTAACAGCACCGTTAGGTTGTTAAACTTGCGTTACAGAAACGTTTTTGAAGATGTTTAAAAAAGACGATTGTCAGAACGGAGCATCGAAAGGGCCTAGAATCGTCGGTGATGGATCGATGTCGGTCGGGGATTTTGCAAGGAATTTCATGGCGATAAAAGGTACACTCACCGGAATCGACGGGTTGAATAAGAGGTCCGTCCTCCGTTACTCCTCCGACCATGATCGGCCACGTTTACCCCGTATTTAAACGGTTTTATCCGCGTAAGTCACTCGGCCACGACGCACTCAACGAATATTTACGGCGTGCGGACCGTCCGTGGTATTCTGAGGCGACCATCGGACGAAATGCTCGATCAATAGTAACGGCCCCGGAGCGTGCGCGGAATATGCGTCGCTGCAAAGGAACCAACGACGACGGCGACGACGACGGCGGCGACGAGACAATAACGTTCGTCGATGCACACCGAGAGAAGGGCTGTTCCCGCAGGTTAACCAAGGATCTCGCGCAGGTAACGATACTCTTGGGGAAAGGTGCATCCACGATAGAATCGATGCGTTATCGATCTTGCAACCCGGTGAACCTTTGGCGAGCGTGCCAAAACTGGGCGAAAGGTGAAAAGAGACGACACCCGGGAAGGCCAATGGCGGTCGCTTGCGTTATGATTGTTGAAAAGGCCTTCTCAGGGGTTTCAGGACTTATGCCACGCTAATTGCTGCGAGGTTTATAGTTCTCAGGAGCGTCTGGGACTTAAGTTTTGGAGGTGGGAATCAAACTTCCAAATTGTAAATGAGAAAATTTTGCACTTTTCGAAGATGTTGAAATCTTCAAATTTTTCAATTGAATTTCCAAATATGTGTTCCCTTTTCCAATTTCTGAATGTTCAAATTCCTTAGTTTGCAAATCTGTAAATTAAAAAAAGTTTCAAATTTCCAAGTTCTTAAATTTTTAGACTCTTTGACAATTTTCAAATTTACAAATTCCCAAATGTCCAAATGTTTAAATTCCTAAATTTCTAAAATTTCAAATGTACAATTCTAAAACCCTGAAAACCTAAAACCCTAAAACCCTAAAACCCTAAAACCCTCAAACCCCATAACTCTAAAACCTTAAAACCCTAAAACTCTAAAACTTTAAAACCTCATAACTCTAAAACCCTAAAACTCTAAATTCCCAAATATCCAAATGTCCAGATGTCCAAGTACCTAAATGTCCATATCCCAAAATTTCTAAATTTCCGAAAGTCCAAACTTTCGCAAACGAAGTAGAATTTCGATCTTTAACTGCTATCCATTCCAAGGAGACCAGAATACGAAAATTTTCTACGTCCTGAATTATCGATCTACGTTACAGGTACGTACTACGGTTATAGGAAGATAATTTTTCGATGAGTCATTTATTACTTAGAAGCTTTTAATTATTAGAATAGATTAGTACTAGCATGTCGATAGCACTAATGATATTTTTTTTTAATTGTCTATAACAAGTTGATGCACGTAAAATATTGTTTTTTAAAATTAAAGTCATCATTGTATATGATGGGATATAGTAGATCAAACAATCTTGAAACGCAGAAAGTGTAATATTATTTCATGACATAAAAGTAAGAAATAACTTTTATGATATATCAATTTGAAGCTCAATATTTTAAAAAAATGGTTGTATAAATATCAAAGTTCTTAATATAAAGTTGTTGGACCATCATTGGAATAAATACTAAACCAAAAAAATTTGCAAGTTTAGTATTGTCCACTAGCAAATATAAAAATATTTATATCTTAAAATAATAAAAGAATTTTTAATTTGTGATACATCAGAAAATTTTTCATTTTTAATTTTTAAGTTTTGCAACCTTTTTTGGAACACCCTGTACATGAACGAAAAGCACCCCTTCATCTGAAATGTATTTGCTATCTCCAGTTATTTATGTACTTATTTTCTTGAAACATTGACTTAGACATTCTGAGAATAATCTATATGAAAAATTATCGTAAAAGTTATTACAATTTCTATGATCATATTTGTTCCATTTTCAGATACTTTTTCATAATAATTCAGTGAAGATTGTTGAAGCTACTTTTTCCAGTCAAATATTCAAGAAAACGACACTATATTTTCCGCCTTCTCAGACAGGTCCGTATTTTCTTTCTCGAAAATACGTGCGATAATGTTTGACATGGAGATAAATTTCGGTAAAATATTGTGTACGTGACAGGCGACACATATAGATAGAGTGAAGTTTGGCGAAATTTCAGAAAAATAATCAAATTCAGTTTAGCTGAAATTTTTGTAGATAATTTTGTCTTGTATAAAAAGGATGTTTCCGAGAAGGATTTTTGGCGATCATTTGGGGAAACTTTGGAATACCGTCATGTCTCGATTCGGACTAACTTTTGTAAACGTGCTCTTTTTTTTTTTAAAAGGAAATATCTGTGAGAACGGTTAGTGACATATACATACACATACGTTTATTATACGTAATATAATTTTCAGAATATCGTCGATAAAATAGGGATTCATATGAAAATGGTACAGAACTTTCTTTCGAATCTCCTAAAACTGCTTTCACAGATGTTTTCTTTCTTAAAAAAGAGCTTATGTGCAAAATTTAACGTGACTTGGAGCATGACGGTTTTCTGAAAAAAAAAAAAAACTAAATTTGTAATGGTTTGATGAAGTCAAAACATTGTGTCGTTAATTAGTATTGCACTGCGATGTAATTTGATGATTATTACAGTCAATTAAGGCAATAAAATCAGTAATTAATTGGTTTTTTAAAATTGAACCTGTGGCGCCATCTCTTCAACAAACAGGGTGAACTACACACTTTTGAAACACGCCGTTAATTAGTTCCTATTTCTACCGCTAGACGGCGCCACGTGTGTTATTTCCGGTTCAATTCAATTAATATAGTCGATTTTATTAACTTAATTAACTATAATATGAATCGAATTATATCTGAGTGGAATTTACTTCGAATTGTTTTGACTTTACCGAACCATTATCAATTTTAAACAATTATTAGGCAATTTCCGTTTCATATACTGCCATCTGATGGCGAAAATGGGAACTAATTAACAGCGTGTTTCAAAAGTGTGTAGTTCATCCTGTTCGTTGAAGAGATGGCGCCACTTGTTCGATTTTTTTTTAAATTCAATTAACACTGATTTTATTGATTAATACGCTTTATATTTATTGTATATTCATTAATACTGATTTTATTTTGTATGTAATATATTCCGATGGTCCTAAGATACGGATTATGTGTTCAGAACAATTCGCACGCTATGCTGTACCTTGTCGATGATACAGGGAATGACGTGATGGCAACATATTTTCTTCCAAGTCGTCAAAAACCGTTCTCACAAGTATCTTCTTTTACAAAACTTGGTCGACAGCGTAGCATAACTGATTTCGCAAGTTTTACAAGTGTCAGAAAAGCGTAATAATGCTTTATTTTACCGAAAAGCGCAATTTCGTATTTTGATAGTTTCGTGCTTGACCGTGAGGCGGCGCCATTTTGAATTAACGCGCGGAAATATGAATTTCAACACACGTGTAAGAATGCAAGTTTCAAAATTCTTCCAACTTTTTAAGTCAATTACTATATGAACTTTTTAATAAATTATTTCACAACAAATTCTTAGTATTTATGTGTTAAATTGTCCAAGTATATTTGTTATGAGTGTAACCTTAAATGTAAAGTAGTTCCTGGGGTCACACCTCTGAAACGTAACGTACACATTGTAACTATTATTTTGTCACACACGTAAACAATACTATTAATTTTAATTGTATTACATTGTTTATGACAATGGAATTGTGTGAGTTATAATTGGCATCTAAAAAATAACAAACTGTTATAGGTGTTTAAAATTTCTTAATAATTTTATTGAGAAAAGCCATAACTTACATGGATCATTGTTTTATGTGCAACATCAAACAATGTTTATTTACTTTCCTTCATTATTTTATTAAATTAATGTATTTCGTTATCCATAATAGTACATGCGTGTTACATGAAAAATGGTGTAGAAACTGCTAGTAAAGACAACACTCACTTTTAAAATGTACTGGATATTTTACAAATTGAAACAACGTATTTAAGTACATACAGTACACTTTGCAATGCTGTACCATGCATTCTTGTTCCGTCGTATTATAATACCTTCTGCGATTATGTACAGATATAAATTATTCAATTATATAATAAAATATAAGTGTTTAAAATTGAATGTTATTGCTCAACGCGTGTCAAGGTCACAAAATAACATAGTAATGCACAATTCATTAATTACTCTTTTCTTTAATCTTGTACTTGTTCACTTAAAAAATTCTACTCTTCCTCTTACGTCTTATTCACTAATAATCTGTATCTGTTCCTTCGACCAACTCCACTTTTGTACACAATGCCCACAGTAAAATAACATCAAAATTACATTAAAAAAAAATCCTCTTCGTAGAATCTACGAAAAACACTTTAACAGAATATTTAATAAGAAACATAAAACTGTAAGACTTCACGAAAGTAAACGAAACAATAGAAAAATTTCGAGAAGGATCAAGAAAGTAATTTACCAGAGAAATTGTGTAATGTGTATGCGTTCGTGTAGGGGTGGGATACACAGAGATATAAATGTAGATATATTTGTTTCTCTTACAATCAATAAGTAGCATTTTTTCCCGGAATTTTGGTGAAACTTTTACAGATGTACATAATTAAGAATATACTTTCAGTGTGCAACCGATGGTAAACTAGCAACATGTCCCTTAACAAATATCTATTCACCTAAGTATAAGCGCTTTATTATTATCAGTCGCAACTCGACACAATTTTCACGATGAGCCCTTCGTTTATTATCCTAATACATCCATAAAGGTGACCATCCCCCATCGTACAGGACAATCTTCTATTCTTTTCTCGCGATTAATTTTGATTATACATAAGGCGTTCTTGTCCTTTGTGACTGCAGCGACAACATTTTCATTCAATAAACATTTGAAAAGCATCGAGTATTTTACTTCATTTTCCAATCTTCAATTGATCGTTAACACGTTCGATTAAATTAATACACATGAAATTCAGAAAGTTGTAAAATGACACAATTCAAGTTTCAATCTTCGAAATTTAACAAATCACAAATTCTCAAAATACAGAGATTTAGGAATTGAATTGTCATGTTCAGAGATTTTCAATTTTAGACACTTTCATTTATTCATCTTGCATCTTTCGAATTTTGTAAATATCCAGATCGAACGTGTCGAAGCCGTAAAAATTGGTAAAAACTAATTCTACCGGAAAATAAAGAAAAATCACCAGAGTGAATTATAAATTATTTATTATTAGACATCTATCGATAATCTAAAAAATATATAATTCTCTTAAAAGAAGAAAAACAAGGGCCACACGGAAGATACGACCTTGAGATGACCTTCATCCCGCAGCCTAAGTTTTTCCTTGAAAGAAAACTTTAATGAAAAAGGTGGGGCCTGAAATTTAAGAATCCCTAGAAATTCAAATACTCAATAGTTGTATTGTGCAAGGTGTAAATTTTATTGTACACGAAGGCTGGATGTCTCGACTACGAAATCCAGAAAATGGTCACCTCGATATTACGAATTTTTTTACTAGTTTTCATCATTTTTTTGTTTCTGTTGTATTCATATACATTCGATACTTCGCATATCATCCTCGCTCTCTCGCTCTCACTCTCTTTTATTTATTTTTTTTTTTATTTTTACGGTGTTCTCTTTCGCGCGTTTCTCTCTCACGCTTTTTTTTTAGTGTAATTTAGAAAATTTTTTACTCGTATTTAATAAATTGAAACTTATTAGATTTGCCACGTCAAACACGCGCAGGCAAAGCGCCAGGCACTTGTAGATATAAGGAAGATTTATACAATCGTTCTTTCGTTTCTCTTTCGTGCGGCGAATTTCGAATCGAATCGAAACAGAATAGTTAACGGACGACATTTGCATTTTTAGTTTAATTTGCATTTGCAGTTTTTGTATTTGTAAATAATTTCTGAGACATAAATTGTCGTTCTGTAAGAAGATTTAGATCTTGTAATAAATTGTTTGATAGATTTAAACGCTGACAAAAATTATATTAACGAAGAATTGTACTTAAAAAATTATTCTTTTAAAATAAATATAGATACAGTCGGTTAAGAAAGTTTCCGTACTTCTAATTTACTTAACATTGTTTTTATACAAAATCTCATAAATAATAAAAGCAAAGTGTATACACAATCTTAATTATTCTTTTGTTAATTTGACTATCATATTTACTCTGATTCATTATTGCAACGAATGAACACAATTTACGCTAATTTGTTAATGAAAAGAAACAGAATGGAAATAAATATTCGTACATGATAAAAAGATCGTGTTTCAGTTATTTAATTAAGAAATTAATATAATTTTTTGTTTCAACGACAAATATTTCTAGACGAAAATATTATTTATTTCTACAATGTATCTGAAAAGTAATGTACGGATGGTACAATAAATATTATCACTATTTGTTCTATATTGCAATCATGCAATGTTAAATAAATTTTAAAAGGTTTAGAAACTTTTCTGACAATGTATCGCTTATAAATAAAATGATATTAATTAAAATAATTAGAAAATAAATGTAATAAAATAATAATTAGATTTCATTGGCGGTCGTGCAAAATATTAATACCGAATTATTTTTCTTGAATGTATGTTCTTTAAAAATTCAACAGGTACAGTAGCATTCCAATATTTTTCCTTTCGCATTGTTTTATATAAAAAGCATGGAAATAAAACAATACACATGCAACATGGTAAGAATTTCAACATAGCGATATGTTTACAAAATATAATTCGATTTTTTCAAAATCTTCGAATTTATTGAAAATAAATCCTTCCTGTTATTCGTCAATTAAAGCATCGTTACTTTTGCACTATTCGTTTCAATTATTTGCACTATTCATTTATCATAGTCTCTTCGTTCGGCAGTCTTTTAATTTTGATATTTTCTTGCACAATTTAACATCTTTTATATAAAACTTTCATTGACTTGATTAAAACAAATTTACACTTTCAAATTTTCCTGTTTCGATCATTACAAGAATTTTTGCTAATTTTTTAAAATAAAGTTAAAAAGAGTCTTAAGGATTTAACGGAAGAATTTGTTTAATTATATATTCGTTTCTAATTAAAGCGATTCAATTATTTTTGGTTAAAATGTGTTGAAAGAAGTTGCGACGAAATAACGCTTTAAAAATACGTACACATATACGTCTTTATACGTCCGATATAATAGATAGTTCAAAAATTTTAAAAATTACAAACTTTCCAATTTACAAATACCCAAATTTTCAGCTATACAAATTTAAAAAATGACAAATTCTCAAAGCTAAAAATTTTGAAAGCGACAAATACTTAAAAGTCTTCAATAAAATTTGAAAACTTGAAAATTCTGCCGTAACCAATTCGTGCGCAACTTTTTCCAATGCCTCGTTTCATAGAAAATCAGCGTTTAATTCCTTTGGAAGAAATACGCATTCTAAAAATCTTACAAGACATAAATTTTACAATGAAAAGGTCGTCCGATATCCTACAAACGGCATACATATTTAGTTGCAATTTACAATGTGTCTTTCGTCTTTCGAACTTGCATAAACCTTTCCTTACGATAATTAAGGTGCTCGAGCTCGCTGATACATAAAGGGTTTTTTTTTAAAGAGAGCTCGCACGTTAATATACAGCAACACAAATACAAGAAAGTGTTCAAACATCCTTCTGAGATCACTGACGAAGAAGCGCGTGTAAACAAGAAATCAGATGCCACGCTCGACAAGAAAATTACACGTAATTATCTTAGCCTATAAAAAAACGTTACCTTTACACTTGGCTAATTATTATCATCATTAATGATCATCGTTAATCAATGTCCCCTTAATATTTTCAAGCATGCTTATTCCTGCGGTATTCATTGGTAGGTACGGACACAATCGCATTTAGAAACGGAAATTAACTAGACAAATCCTACTAGCTACGATATACTATCATGTTATTTTTTTTTTTGTTTATACCATGAAGCTTGAATATTAATATGATTCCTTGGGAACGCCATCGTCTTTTCGAGAAGTTCTCGACATTCTTAAAGCTGACATTTTTGACATCTATTCTTTTTTTTCTTTTTTCTTAAGCGCTTTTCATACACATTTTTTTATTTGTTTGTTTAGTGCTTCGAATGAAACTTATATACAACTATGTAAGAAGAATTCTTGACGCTTTTACGAATTGTTTCGAAAAAAGAAAGAAATAGAACGGGTTCGCCGGTTGAAATCTCGTAGGAAAAGCAAAGTGCAAACACTTGTAAAAATATTGTAACATTTACGTTCGCTGTACGAAACTATTCAAGCTTATTCGTTTAATTTATGTAAAAATCATGTTTTGTCGTTTGTAGTTTATTTGCCTTTCCTAGAAATCGACCAGGATCCGTTTTAACATTCAACGTTATCGTGCTAAGATTCAACGCGTTAGCTTTTTTTTTATCTCCTTAACCCTAAGTTAGAACATTCCGAAAATCATAATATCGCAACGTCAAGGTCTTTGGTGGCGCTTTACGAGTCGCTTAACAAACGCTAAGGAAAAAGAAAAAAGATGAAAAAGAGGATCGCCACTTCCCTACATTAAATTTTGTGCAGAGATGGTGTTACAATGGAATCGATTGATAAATCTTAATACTGTGAAATAATTTAATAGACATTTAATCGCTTCAATAATTAATTAGTCGTTTATCGAAATCGATTCATTCAATTGTTACGCTAAAATCTATCGATGAACGCCACTTAAAAACACTGACGAACTATGATTTCTTGGGAATAATAGACAACGTATTTTTCTTTCTCCTTTTCTTTTTTCTTTACAGGCAAAGACAGCTTATTAATTATCGGAAAATCTATCGCTTGCGAAGTACAATTGATTTCACGATTTAACTTGTAAAGCTCATCGAAATACAAGGATATTTTTATTTCGTCACCTTATTCTTGGAAATGTATAATTCACACGTGTTCCACACACGTAACTTTACTCTTTTTTTTTTAATATATAAATATAGATTATTTGTCTTACTTTTTAAAACGTCTGGGCTCGTGGTAGGAAGTAAACTCTTCTACGTTCTTTTTATTTTATCAATAGATTCGGTTACTTTTCTTTATTACACACTAAGTAAAACCCGTTTCTCGCGAGACTTTTAATTACCGTTTTTTTTTTAACTTGTGTTTAATTAACTTATTTCTCTTTCGAACATATACTAGGTACAAGTTTTATTATGCGTTGTTCGATCCAAAAAAGAAATTCAATCATCTAGGTTTTTGCACCGGATTAAAAAACAAACAACGTACAAATTAATCTTCACTATCATCCTGTCGAAATAAAAATGACAAAAGTTTGTTCAAAAAGCATCCCATCTATTGCCCGCCGACCGTCCATCACTAAATGGTAAAATGATTTATGAACGAGTTATTGAGGTAATATTTACAAATGGAGGCTAGTTTTCGATCGGCCACAAGTAAATACCAAGTATAGCGTTCGCAAACCTGCACGAAACAATGCTTTCTTACAAAGTATCTGATATTCAGTTTAGGACTTAAAGATATTTCAAATGAAAATTTATTACCACCTTATTATTTACATGTGTATAATATGGTGGTATTGTAAACTGTTTTCTATGAATAAAAAACCAAATTACAAATGAGAAAGTAACTAACTCTGGACCTACAAATTTCCATATACTCTTTAAATTTTGTCTGGATGCGATTAAAGATTAACAAATACAATTGCATTCCACAAATAACAGGAATCCAGAGAAATTCTTACAATTCACAATAAACAGGATTGCAGGGTGGTTCCATTTGTGAAGTTTGAAGTCCATAATAACCTTAACATCTTAAAATCAACACCTGCGTGCCATGCATAACACTGGTCAGCTCATCGTCCAAACTTCTATCAAACATGAAGCACCATCGCAATCCAGTTTGAAGGATTTGAAACACAATATTATGCCTGCAAAAGAGATAAAACATGTGAACAAAAATACAAAAGACTAAATTGTTAAACTATAGCACAGGTCCAATGAAGAATAACAAACCATAATGGCAGTAAACGTTCCATTTGTGGAAGCGCCAGAACTAATAATGTTTAAGCACTTGTATACTCAACGAGGAATATAAATCTTTAAAGTAAATGATTTTTATACAGCTCACATGCTGATTATTCAAATTGTATTAAATATTCACTTCATTTGATATATTCACTGTTTCATGTCCTTTTTCCTTTCATTTACTTGGTATTTACTTGTACACCGATTATATGTACACTGCAGTTGTTTGCAGTTTAGATTCACTTAAAATCTAATAGATCTGTATGGCCTCATTACGATTCAAAAATTGATCCGTAATCTTCACATCTAAACTTCTTGCGTTCGTCATTTTGGTTCCATTACACCCTTAACAACACGAATAATAAATTCTTCATTTTTTTTTTTGTTGTATCTCCTCACTGATCAAGACTCCTCAGTTTTCTTTCTTACTTTAACTATACCTTTCATCATCACTAATTTGCATTCATTTATCCGCTGCCTTCGATCATTTGTAATTGATTCAATTACAGAAACTATCTTAACGAACGTTTCAAAATGATGCTTTCGACCTTTACGGATGTCGAAATCATGTTTAACAAATTACCTAATTTTTTGTTCTCTCACAAAGTCAGAAACTAGGTATTAATTGTTGTAACCGTAAGCGATATCCTACATTAAAGGCTTAAATTTTATAACTAGAATAAATATTATTGATAGATTAAGGTCCTTTTCCATAGTTTCCCGGATAAAATTAATATTTATCACTTGCAAGCTAGAATCATTAATACATCATTTTCTATAAACTCTAGACGCCAGCCTGCATTTTATATTACAAGTAAGCGTCAGTTAAAATGCTTTTTTGAATTGATTTTCAAGTGTAAAAAGAAATATATCTTACAAAACATCATTAAGATACTCTGGTTAGATCTATACAAGAGTTTATAAGTTTGGTTTTCATTTGAATCATGCAACGATATCGATGTTTAGCTATTTTTAATACTGCTTTATAAATCAAATAACAAAATAATTACAACCTATGTTCAAAGACGGTGAACATCGTTAAAAACATTATCGACGTATTAATGATTCTAACGGTATGCAATAAACGACTTATGGCGCACGACATTCAATACATATTTATACATTTCATTATCCTATCTATTGCTTCTTCATTGTAGTTGCTTGCTGGGCTCTTAGTAATGTTACTGTGCCGATTAAGATCATTTCATTTGATATACACACCACCACTCGGACGAATTGTGAATGAAGAATTCGTTACATTAAAAGAAGAAAGATTGAAGGACCTTAAAATTTGCGTTACACAACAAATAAAACAAAACTTATCCTAATAATTTCATATTATAGTTCTAATCTATTCTACAATTACTGAATAATCCTTACTCTAACCTTATCCGAGTCATTTTTTGCATTGATGGGGCTTCATCATCAGCCCAGATCTAATGCCATATAAATTCAATATAATTTTTATTACCCAAGGAGATAACGCTTTATGTTTTAAACATTAAATTAAGGTAATCGTTTACCTTCATCGATATGGACAATACCGTTTAAAATTTTCAAGTGTAAACTGTATCTAGAAGGAAAGTATTGCTAATGTACTACCGGGATTCTACACGATTTCATCAGAAAGCTAAAAACAAATTGATAATATGTTATGTACAATTTAGAGTTCCATTAAGTAAGGGTAAATGTACATGGAAACATTCTTCTATGTATATGGAAAGCATTTCCTTTATCTATCCTTGGTTTTTATGTGTAAGAGAATATGCTCTTCCTTGTTTCTGCTACGTTTACTCTTACTTAGGTGTGTACACTCTTTATATAGCATTCATATTCATTATTTAATTAGACTGTTTTAATATTCTTTTAGTGTATGAAAAGAAGACCATGATAGTTTTACATTTATCAGTATTATGAATGTTTAGTTATCTTGGTTCTCGCATTCTTTTTATTGTGCGTTCAGTTTTACTTTATTGCAAGTCAGTGCTTTTCAACGGACTGTACCCTGTTAGGAAGAACCAAGATCTGAACTTAAATGCAAATATTACATTCCTTGATAATACAGAAAAATAATAAAAATAATGAAAATCTCTGATCGATATTGAACAGGAATAAAAGATATCGTTTTAACTTCATTTACGGTACTTTCCTCCTGTTTTGTAATTGATCAGCCAACCGCGAAGCGGAACATGAACATTGATACTACATAAGGAATGTATTTCTTCATGCACATCAGTGTTAATACGTTTTTAGATTCTCAATGAAGCCAACTGTAAGGGTGAAACATTGAGAATATTTTCCTTTTAGATACTGTTTAGACCTGAAAGTCTGAAACCGTATTAGCTATAACAAACCGAGCCTCAAAATTCTGATACTAATAAAGTTACTATACAGTTGAAGCTGCATCATAACTTTGTTGATGTAAGCGTCTATGACTCCTGCTTCACATATCATACGAAAGTTAATGACAGTGAAACTAAAACAAATATATATCTTCGAATTTTTGGTTACTATCAAACCATTAAGATGTAAAATATTACACTTTTATACAATAATAATATATTCTATTCCACTTAATATTAAAAGAATGATCTTCCAATTACGCAATAATTATTCTGAATCGTCACTAGTCACGTGGAAGATTCTTGATTCCTTTTTCATTCAAGTTAACAAAATGCTGAAGCATTTTAAATGATCCCTCGTAAAAATGACATTAGATTTAGACTGATTGAAATTCACGTCATACAGAAGATATCATTCAGCAAATGTGGCACGATGTTTTTTTTACAACACTAAAGATATTACGTAACACTATGCTTTATCAGCTTGCCACAACTTTGGATTTCATTATAACAGATTCTTAACTTACTTTGGCCATTGGCTTAGAGACCTTGAACCTTTTTAACTCATTTGCATCTCCCTATCGACAATTCATTACTTGACGTGGCCAATTTTTTTAGTACTTACAATAAATATGATAAGTATGATAAATATGATATCATAGAGAATCATAGTCTCATGAGCATAATAGTAAAATATGCCTTAAGCGTGACAATAGTACATGTCAATTATTATCGCGTGACTCATTAGGTCTAAATTTTTTTCCCCCTACAAAAATTGGCTGATTTAAATGATAACTATGCATAAACAACAAGATAACAGTTTTCGCAAGAAGCGATTTATACAATCGTAAATTTATGTTGTAATGTAATATTTTTGTATCATACAAATGCTAGAGATAATTTAATCTCTATAAAAAAGGAAAAAGGAAAAGAACAAAATAAGCGTAATATGCACGGCAGCTGATATTTTTCTTAAACTGTTTGTTCATGTGGTTTTTAGCGCGAAATTTCACACCAGTCAAGCTGCATATGCCTTAATCTAATCTAAAACATGATTAACTAAAAGCACCTCTTTTAAAACCTACTTCCTAGAATGTTTAGAATATCTGTCCAAAACCTAGTCGACAATGTGTTAAATAAAATATAAAAAAAGGAAATAAACTCAATATAAAATTGTTCGACCCGTTTTAGATATTGGACAGATTCATTTGATTATAAAAGTAAATAAAAAAATTGACCACTCAAGAAGATTGTTTAGCATTTAAATAGTCTAGAAATATTCGTGCGCAAGATATGATTATCATTATCTGGTATCAGTTGCTTGTGTGTAAAAAAAAACTTCAAAGAATTATGCGAAGTACATAACTCGTTTTGTGTCTGCGTGAACTGTAATAGCTCTTGCCATTGCACCTGGTGTTCTATCTTCGCTGCAACCAGACTGATGAGATCCTTCTCCACTGAAATATAAATTAATAAATTATATTTGTATATTAAACATAATTTAATATCAAACAGATTTTGCAAATAAACAATTATATGACAGCTTCATATTAAGGTACCTTTAGTAAAGATTTATCACAGCCTTGCATCTTATAATCAAAAATTAAACTTAAGACTTTATTGATCACAGATTTAACTTACCTATCATGTTCCTTTTCTACCAAATGATATCTGGCTCGGAATGCTACAAGGTGAGCATAATACGCTGGTGCAGGTATACTGACAGACCTTGTACATCTCACATATGTATGACATAATTGATAGGTAAGACATTGTAATTCATCACTTTCAAAATGATTATCGTCCCACAAAACATGATAATGTGATGGCCGTGATGTGCCCTAGCAAATAAATATACGTCACATTTATATTAAGCGAAACAAGTCTGAGTAGATATTTGATCACAAATTATTAACTTACCTGAATGCCTTGATGACTACACAGGTAAAAGTCAAATTCAGTTGGATGCGTTATACAAACATCTACTGTTGTACCTGCTGGAATGTTCCCACTTTTTCCACTTTGTTCTTTCTTGTCAGCACAGAATAAGCGGGTATGATGTCTTTTCTGTACTACGATAAATGTTATTCCAGGTTTGTAATCAGCTTCAAGTTTAATGCAAGCCTCACGAATGGCAGTTAATTCATGTTGCAAAACATGTAAGAACTGGCCTTCTGAGACACCATCACGATAAAGTATTATCCTGTGTGGTTTATATCCTCCAGTACTCTTATAAAACATGATAAGAAGTTCCCTTAAAAAGGAACAAAGATATAGTACCACAACTCAATACTGATATAAAGCATAAAAAATACAATTAATTTGGGACAATGTACTTACCTCACCATCGAACTAAGTTCTTGAATAATTTCCTGTCTGTGTTGCTGAACTCTTACAGTAGCTGCGTATCGAGATGGATGAGCATCCATGCTACCAACTACTGCAGCTATGCTAGGTTTCTTATTATCCCCAGCAGGGGGATGTGTCACATCAGCCCCCAAAAATATGACTGGTTCATTAAATACTTTAGGTCTGATACTTGGTACCAGAATACTATTAATGCCACCTAATTTTACGTTAATCTTTAGACACAAATTGGATAACGTTTGTGGAGATGTTTTATTAACATTTTTTGCCTGTACACATTGCGTCGCCATACCCAACAAAGTATCTCCTACTCTTTTGACTTCAGCTGCAAACAAATACATAACATATGTAGCAGTTATTAATATTTTATAACATCTAAAATATAATATTTATATAATTACCATATACAGGCGTTTTCCCCGGTAACACAACACAAACAAGTTGTAATGACGCGAATGTTGTCTTTAAATATCTAAACATGGGCTCTACTTGATCTGGCCCAGTAGCGTATTTACAAAAACATGGCTGGCCAATGATTGGCATCCCGGCATCGTTGCTTATTTTTTGTAACTGTGTTGTAAACATACGCAGTGCGTCCTCACGCACTGTTCTTTGAGGTGCAAAGCAAGCAATTGCCCAAACTCTGATTTCCACACCGGTGAAGAATTGCTTGCCACGCATGTCCCAAACACCTTGATTAGGCATAGCTTGCTGCTTCGTCTTTTACATAAAGAATAAACAAAAATATATCATTGATCATCATAAAACATATTCATGATCGTATATAATAAAAAAAGTAGATGCATCAGTATTGCTACGCAATCCATGCAATCGTTGCTCTTCTATTTTCATTACATAAAGAAGCTATATAAATATAATAAAATAACATACAAAATTTCATAAAACTATAACAAATTTAACAAATAAATAAGAATCTATTTTTTTATAAAATACTGCATGGAACGAAACTGATAGCATCAGATAATAGCTAATAGTATTGGACTGTAAATGTAGTATAAATTGTATTGATAAACATTTAAAATACATTTTGTACACTGCAACATATTTCATATAATTAAATATAAACAAAAATCTAGACATCAAGCTAGTGTATAACCGACTTCATAGAGTAATTTATACTTTCATTACATTGACAGTCCACATACCAAAATCAACCAGGTCTAGAACCCATGCATTCATTTGACAACTTTTTATTTAGCGAAAAAGAGATTTTTTTTTATTTATATATATTTGAAATACACAAAAGCAAAATTAAATGTATTCTTTTTCTGAAACAAATTACAGAATTTTCATTACACATACAAATACTGAAAGAAAATTTAAACTACTCTAAATTGCTTTTCTTCCAAAAATGTAACATATTTGTTTTTCTCGAATCAGAAAAATGAAATTGTAACTAATAATGGTATGTTCAATAGCACTGCAAAAACATATTCCTACCAAAAATAATATAAGAGCCTCTGCAAATGTGTGATTTGCCTAGACCTGACTGATTAAGTTGGAAGTTTCTCACCTGTCCACTGAGGGAACTTACGCGCCCTCCGTACTGTAGTTTGGGCGGAGGTAAAACACGACCCCTAACTTCCATCATATTGTTCGATATTGCCAGACCAAACTCTTGAACATATGAATCATTATTAAAATCAGCTCTCCTAACTAAATTATTTATTTCTCGTTCACGATCTGGAGCAGAACGGGCTGTCGCTTTTATCATAGTGGATGTCTGCATGTCAGTCAATTTTTTTATACAACGTTGCCCAGCGACAATATTACAAACCTATTAACATATAAATTCGTTAAATTAAACATAATGCACTTATGAAATAAATCAAGTTGAAATTCATGAGCATTGTAAAATCAAAGCCTTATCCCAATGTAAAACTGATACCTGTGATTCCCTGTAGAATCTCAATACTTTTATTATTTTTATGTCAAAAATAAAGCCCTACTTTTCAAATCAGTAATTAACTCCTTGGCTCACTTTATTACGAGAAATTCCACATTTTACTTAAGATGTAATTATACAAAAGATACTTGATTTAACAAACCTCAAGGGGTAGATATGTGTGTTTATGCTCTTGTCCAACTTGAAGACATGGAAGATGCGGATAACGTAACTTCATTTTATATTTATCTAAGAAGTACTTTGCAACAGTGCACTCAACTGTTTGTCCATTTTCTAGTTGTAAAGGGAATCTAAAATTTTCGATTATCATGTACATATAATAATGATACAACGGTTTGTTTATACTTACGACTGCATTTGGGCAGGTTTACGTGTAACGTTACACACTCTATACTTCCGTCTCATAGTTCCACAATGTGTAATTTCAATTTTGAGTCCCTTAATTTCTTTGGTAAACTTAACTCGTTGGGAATCTGTTAAAGGCTTTCTTTGATCGTTTATGTCTCGAATATCTAATACTTCACACATAAATTCTATGACTGGTTGGGCTTTGTAAAATGCAGTTGCAGAGACTGTAACATAAATAATATATAATGTATGCATGTATTAATTGCTAAACTAATAAAATATATTTCATGCATTTCATATTTACCATCAATATTTAACATCATTTTCCACTGTGATGGCCTAACAGATTGATGGAAACCAAACCATACTTCCCTACCACCACCTAATGGATGATAATATCCATCTGGTGTACTAAAGAATGATCTACCTACAGGAGTATATGTCATAGATGGTAAATGCCTCATTACAACATCTAAAGCAAGTATAGCATCATATGGAATTTGTCTTGTACGTCCTTCTAGAGCTTCTTCCAATGCAAATAATGAAACTTGAGCCAGCCACTTTATCACCACTCTAAAAACTCTGTCTTTACCCTCACCAGGCAGTGTTACCTACAAAAATATATTATTAGAAAATACGAAAAAGAGAAAAGAAATTCATACGTTTTCTTAATTATGGTACTTACTTCTAATTCTATTTTATCAGTACCGATAGGCAAAGGGTCCCTCGTATATAAATTATTTCTGCCATCAAACACAGGCTTAAGAGTTCCGAATATTTTACTATATGCATGAACCATTGTTTCTATTATTTCCCTATTAACTTTACGAGGACATTTATCTGGTTGAATGTTAATATCATAATGATGCACATAACCACGTGGCATTGTAATTTGAAAGTGATTAGCTCTTAAACCAATTGGTCTGCCTTCACGTCCTATATTTGGTCTCCGAGGACACGAAAACACTGTAACAGTTTTATACAAAATATACATTTTTGTAAAAAATTAATTTTTATTTAAATATAACAGAAAATTAAAATAAATGAGTATGACAGACATCTTATCAATGAATGAAATGATATAACTGTATCATATTTCTAATAAAGGTGTACATAAGAACATTTTTTAATTCATTTGAATCAATATCTTATGTAATCTGATAAAATGTACATAATATTATTATTTTGAAGTCATAAGAGACATATTTGTTATTTCAATTTTTTGCAATTTATTCAGAATACATACCAGAATAATTTGAATAGCTTACTTGGCAGTTCAGGAGGTTGAGGAGGAGTGTGTGTTTGTTGTGCAGGAACGAGTCCTAAAGAACTAGGAGCAACAACACTGCTCCCAGTTGACCCAGCTGCTCCCACAGAAGAACTTGTTGTGGGTCCAGGTGGGGGAGCTGAAAATATTAAAAAAAGGAATAGTAATATTAAAAATATTTAGAATTATTCAATAGTATTATGGAAGAATATGTATACTCTTGCTCAAAAAATTAAAGCACATGACGCTTTCAAAAAATATATCTTCCTGCAAGTAAACCAACTTTTTACACAAAATATTATTCTTCTATTACAATGAAACTACACTTCATTAGTTTTAGCTAATTTTAACTTATAGAAAGAAGTTCATTCTATACATTTGTCTCCTTCATTTTGAAAAAATTATCTGATATAATTTCGATATAATTTCGATATAATTTCAATTCTTATCTTGAAACTGACTTAGATAATATTATTTTGACATATGAATTTAATATTCATAATAAAATTAAATGAAAAAACAATTTTCATCTAAAAACATAAAGGATATTTCAAACTTTTGAGCAACAGTAGGTCTATAAAAAATTGGAAATATCGATACAATGAATAAATACTTTCTAAAACAAAAAATAAGAATTTATAATAAATTATATTAGTTTATTTAACACAATAATTAAATGTTAATAATTTGTTGTCACATTTTGGGAATCAGGTTATAGGTACTTATCAAATTTATACTTTTCTGTAATATTGTATATCGTTATATTAACTTAATGTGAATATGGTATATTTATTTATCTATAATGGCATAATACATTTTATTTAATATAATATATGTATGTACATTTTATGTATATTATTTTATTTAATACATATACATATAACTGAAATCTTATTTCAATAAAGCAATGCGATTAAGGTATAACATTAGCAGCAATCACATACATAAGAATTAATTTGGGGTATCTCGAAACTTTGATATGTAAAATGTCAATGGAAAAATAATATTAAAAAAGAGAATTTGTAAAGGTGTATTGCTTTTAAACAAACAGTATGATAAAATGTAACAATTTCCATTGATATAACATGTTTATTTACAGCATTACTTATTTTCATAATAAAAGTGGGTAGGTAGTGGTTTTCAATCATAATTAACGCGGTAAAGCGATATATTAAGTATGTGATATGTAATAAAAAAAACACATCGGTATTAACATTGGTACTCGTACGTTATCCATGTATTGACGGATCAAAAGTGACGACACATTGTGCCTGTTGAACGAGGTTCATTCGAGGTCATTTTTCAAATTTTCCTCGAATCTTTAAATTTAATTTATTATCAAAATTTAATTTTATTATTGCAAATGCCGATCAAATGGGTTTTGATTGTTGTAAAATGATAAAAGGATGAACAAATTCAGAACTAATCGAGCAACCGAAATCCTGTTCTTGCTTAGACAAATACAGAAGAACCTATTTTGGAATATTTTGAAATATTATGACGAAAACTAAATATAATTAAATACTCACGCTGCCCTACAGGATACATTTTTGCAGCTGATGATGAAAAAGACCAGATAACCACTAATAAATCAGTAAAAAATTTAACACAAAACCCACTGACCACACAACACACTTCTCCACAACACACACTACGAATGAGATTGCCTTTTGCAATGGCTGCCTTCAACTTCATTCCAATTGGTCTTATCTCGACCAATCAGCGTACAATTAATAAAATAGTAGTTGATAATTCTTGGCGCCATCATTTTCTATCAAGAATAATTTTAAATTTTTTATTTCGATTAAAACAATATATTTCTAATTTATCATAAAATTATAAAATATCGGCAGATACACAATGATCGTACCACGTTCAATATAAAGTTTCAAGGTTACTGAAAATTATAATATCCTGCACAGAAATGTTAATAACAAATTTTTATTTTTATTTCCTTGTATTCGAAATGTTTACTTTATTTAAAATTACAATATAATTTAATTATAAACGATTTTTGTTTATGTTGGTGGCACTGCAATCGCAATTAATTCCCTTTAAATTACATCTATTAGTGATAGTATAGGTACGCGATTGCGTGTTAGATTTCCGAAATGTCGATTCCTTTTAATGGAACTCGTACGCGATCGTTAGGATTAATGAGTGCGATTATAAAACAACTAAACATCGTAACCTTAAAACCAGTAAAATCAATCAACATACAATTTGATCCCTTTCATGAAAAATCTTTGGAAATAAGGTTAGTTCGCTAAAATTTGTTTGCTATGTGTATATGTACTCTATTAAAACTTAATTTCTTTCATAGTTAAAATCTGCGACAAATAATATACTATAATTTGCTATTTACAAGTTTTTTTTCAACCATAAATTTTGTATAAAAATTAATGATTAATTCCCTTTACGAGTTTCGTTACAATCTGATGACGTCAATACTCGGCGCATGCGTAGTATGAAATTTTTAGTAACTAGCAGCGTAGCAGACGACAAGTACGTGTATATTTTTAGAAAATTTGTTTCAATCATTTGTCAGTATATTAATGTGATATAAGCATAATATTAAAATTAAATAAATTCGAACGTTTTAATTTAAAATTGTGATAAAGCGGTGTTACAGTTTTTCGTTATAAATTAACTGAAAAGGTATAGTTGATTTCTTACATGTAATAACTTATAGTTTGAGAACGAGTGATATAAATTAAACTATCTTTTTTAATCCTTGAGAAGAGGTTTTTATTCACTTTTATAAAACATTAAAAATCAATAGCTATAATGATTATTAATGCGTAAAGATTTAAAATACAATTATTCTTGTAAGATTCCATTACTAGTTTGTTAAAAATTATTTTTTAAATATCATAAAAGTACAATAAGTAAAATAAAACACAATTCTAATTGGTTTATTTTATAAAATTGTTAATGTTCAATATATTATCACCCAGTGTAACATATAAAGTACTTTATAAATTATATCAGTCTACCGTTAGCACGTGTAATATCAAATTTAAATAAAACCGTATGTTTGTTTATTAAATAAACTGATTTTTTACTTCAGTACAATTAGGCAGTTATAGTAATTAGACTTACCGCTACATTGTCCACATCCATATGCTTTACCGAGCATAGAAACTGCGGTAGTTATGCGAAGACTACTTAAGTCTGGCATTTGAAGTGGTAGCTGTTGTTCCATTTGAGCCATTTTGCCTGAAACATTGCAAAAAAACAATAATAACTAGACAATCAGTATGAAAATATATAATAAGATGTTATTAAATAAAAATAACTTATTATTAACTTTAAAAAACATTTGTTTGAAAGTAAACAATAAGGTATATATATATATATGATATATTTACAGAGATTTTTTCTTTCACATTACTCGTAAGAAGACGGTTGCAACTAATCCACGTTGTAATATAAAACCACAAATTGTTTCGGATTTGTCTGATCCCGTAATCACATTTAAATTATGTAAGTATTATGTTCCCTTGTTGAAAATATTTAATTTACATTACTTGATTTGCTTAATTTATAATACTTTTCTTTTCAATATTTATACAAGTACTAAAATTAAATGTATTCAAGAAAAATAGATAATTTTATTATAATTTGAAAGTGACTAAATTGTTGCAAAAATATTTTAAAAACAGTACAATATCACATTTTTGTATCTCTATCTTTTAGTATCTGGTGATAACGTGGTATTCAAAGCTGCAAATTTGTCAACTTTAAATCTTTTACAACTTTGCAACAAATATATTACACCGTTAGCTCCAGTTGAATCAACCACTGAAGATAAAATTGGCAAAGCAATTGTGGAAGCACCAAAACGAAAGAAAAAATATCCATTTAAAATACCACCAGGAAACAAACGTAGAGGATTAGTTTTATAAGTAATAGTTTAATAGCTTATACATATATTAATAACTTTTGAAATATTAAAAAAAATAATGAATATAAGTACAGGTATGAACTAAAAAATAAAATATCATTAGAAAAATTTATATTTAAATCAACTTATCATTTATGTAAAACATCAACCTAATTTTCTTCTTTCCCATTATTTGTAAATTCATAGAAAATTAAACCTACATTGTCAATTGATTAGTGGAAACTAGCAATCTTATGTTAATTGAAAATTGAACTTTAATTGTTTTCTGCATCTAAATATAGAGTAAAAAGTAACCTGATAAATATATATTTGGTCCGATTTTATTAGTATAAAAATTATATGCATTTACGTGTGCTAAAGTTTGGCAAGAACTGATTTGTCTTTCTTATAATTTTCACTTAGAATATCTTTTTAAGTTCTTTACTACGCAAGATAGTTAATCTCTAAAATGGCTAGCCAAACCATAAATAGTAAAAATTATAATATGAAACTTATTGATACTCTTTATAATCAGGTTCCAGCTTTTACCGACGTTTTTGATGAAGAAACATGGTACATTTTTGTTACCTGTTTTGTTGCAGGAACAATTTTAGTTGCATTTATTCTCTCAAGATTTATAACATTAAAACCAGTGGAATAATAATGCAAAATGTTTTCAAAGAAGCATCTTATATCCATTTATATAGATTATTAGATATATTCTAATATCACTAATATTAGACTATAACATTAAGATTTTTCAATGTATCCTATGCAGTTATAAATATTAAGGTTTTACTATGATTGTAATAAATAATATGTTACAATAAATTAATATTTATATGATCAATGATATATTTAAGTACTTTCAGTTGTTTCAAACGCTTTCTTATCAGTTATGTTTTCAATATTATAGAATGTTACTCAGTTTGCGCATGAAACCTTTATTCTTTAAATACACTATAAACTAAATTGACAGTCATAGATTCTAGCACATAGTATTTTCATAGTTTCAATGAAAATATTCATACAAATTTGTGACCTTTAATATAATAAAAATGATATAATAATATCTAATAATAAAGAATTAACAAAAAATGATTGTAATAACATGTAATTACTGTCACTGTTAGTATGTTTAAATAAACTATTAATTACATTATTTTATAATTGCATGTAGTTCACATATGATAAAATTTAATAAATAGTTATGATTCCTGCATGTTATCAAATTCTATAATGCTATAATTCTATAATTTATATTTGTTGACATTTATATATTTTTCAAATAAACTTTCAAGGTGTAGGAACCTCTAAATTTGACATTAAATATTAATGACATTAAATCGAGTGTACCCGCGTTGTACATTTTATGTCCACCAACTTCTCTGCATCTCTTTTTCTCTTTTATTCTACCGCTATCTCTATTTCCCGCCCGCTCGTTCTCCCACACACGTACGACCTTTTATATGGCATATGTTCGTTCTCTTTGCATTTTATCCTTATTTAGTTTTATTACATCGACCTTGTTAATACCTGTGTTTCATTTATTTTAATTTTCAGCGTAACTATTTTTTAAATCTTGACCTTTAAGACGCGAATCAAAAACAATCACCGATGATTCAACCAATTGGATTTTTTATAAAAATTTACATACATCGTAAAGCATCAATGAGTGTATGTATTAAATATTTATATATTTTTTTACTTAGGTAATTAACAAGAACCATTTATTTGTTATTTTGAGAAAACTAAAATATTGCACAATACGTCTACATACATAGATGTCGTTCGATAAATAACCGCTATATAAGTAGCCGATAACACTATTCTACCACTAAATAAGGTAGCGAAAAGAGTGTATACATATATAATGTCGCGTTTAATTAATCAATAATTAATTAAATAACATATGTTGAATGTACACTGTACACAAGTACATATGCAACATCGCTGTAGTAAAATCAAAAACAGGATTTCTATTTTATAATATCAGTGGAAGTAGTTATTTGAGTTTCGTCAAAAAAAAAACAACCTTGAAACTTTCGAAGAGTTCTTACCTACAAAAAATGATTGCTGTTATATAGTGATACGATATACATTTTGTAAATTAACATTTCGTCACATCTTTGAAAATAATAAAAATACTTCAGTTGACATAAAAATTGCTATAAGCCCACTCTATATTTGGCCGGATCAAGCAAATAAACTGTTGAACTGCAATGACAATACGCGTGTCATTGGTTTCTTCATAAGTAGCCAATTCTTGGAAAAGCCCCTTTACGTTCTTGAATTCGGCTATTCATCGAACGATAATTATATTAAAATTATTATTCGCGGGAAGAAAGTACCACTGTTAAAAAAAAAAAAAAAATCGAAATTATAAAAAACTTACCTTTGTCGTAAAACCGGTATTCAACACGAAACGTACAAAATTGATAGTCACACTGTTCTTGAACTCACATGAACATTGTCTGTTTTTAAATAAAAAAAAAAAGAAATTTCACTGCAGTATTTGCGCATTAACAATGCACGTTATAGTCACTTTATACATAACACTATAATCGAAAATGCAACACGTCGTCTATGATAAAATTGTTCGCACGTGACGATAAATAGTTATTTACGTATGATTACACATTTTACACGAAATTAGTTTCTCTCGCAGTTTACCGTAATACGTATATACAAGGGGGTAATGAGCGCATCAGGAACGATACGCACACAAAAATTGCACCGCAAAATATTTGAAGTTTACATCTGGAACAAATATAAATAATTTTTTAATAATTAATTACTTTTTGCGCGTATACATTTATTAAAAATACACTACAAATTAAAATAAACTTCACGTATACTGTTCTACAGTTTGATAATATATCATTTAAAGTATTACTAATTTTTTATATCAAAATTAAATGCATTTATCAAGTTTTGTGCTTTTACAAAATATACATGTGCTTCGCGTAAAAAAAAATATATGAACTGTATTTCACATCAGCTTCTAAATATTTTTATATTTAATTCAACTTGCAAATTTAAATATTCTAAAATTATGTCATTAAATATATTATCAGTTGCTTACAAAATATACGTGCACATATGTAAATAAAATATATCAACTACATGCTATATCGGTATGTAAATACTATGCAAATGAACTTCTATTTTGCAGACATTTCTTTATAAGTCATCATTTAAAACTTGACTGGCCAGTGACTCGCCATTCTTATCTAAAGCGTGCATCGTATCGGAGGATTTCATTGTTCTTTAAGATAATGCGCGTATATGTAACAGGATGAAGTAATTATCTTTTTCAAGTTTGTTTAAACCAATTTGTAGAGAACATACAATAAGAGTATTCGCCTACATTTAGACACATAGCACACATACGTTTGTGCGCATTGTTTGTGATTGTGTACATAGGCATGTCGATACAGTTATACAGCTTATTTTGTTTTGATGACTATTAGGTCGAGCGAAATACGAAATTCTATGTTCAATCACGTAAAAATATTACGAACAAAAACGAAATAAATTAAAATTGTCGAAGGAAATATGATTTCACTTAAATATTACTGATTTCACTCGATTATTTGACAGACATAATAATTTTACCACTGTCGAACTTTAATTATCGGGTATACGCGCAAAATATATTTGGTAAATGTCCGGTGATGTACAGGAAATATGCCACAAACAAAACAGTGAAAATCACGGAAGCGACCGTATTGTAATTCTAAAACGCGTAATATTTCGATGATTCGATACTGCCAAACTGTCGGAAATTTTGCGGAATGGCCACCGCCGCTTTCACTCGCGACGCGATTCTACCAGACACGATTTCAGCAGGAGCGGGACGAAGCCGCCAAAAACGATCACCAAGTGTCAAGGTTGCCATTGTACACGAACATGCCGAATGTACCCCGAGTGTGCAAGTATGTGAGTGCATTCGCATACACTCTACCCCACCTCACACACAGCAGCGCTATCGCACAATAATATTATCATGATACCCGCGCTTGTTTCACGATGACACCGCTCCGACATATGGTACGTTTAACTGCGAAAGAATTTAATACACTTTCACGAATAACATCTAGAGAAGAAAGTATGTTTTACACAAATTTACCGGGCGTCTTTTAGCAATATTCACTAAACTAGCGAACAACATCCGCAAAAAAGACCCCACTACTTGTTCGATTCCACGGTCACTGCGCATGCTCGCATGACCAGGATTGTAGCAAGTAAACAAAATGAGGTAGCATCGTCTCACGGACTTGTTTACAAACAACGATATACATAGAATAGTATTTAAATTTCCTCCGTTGTGTATAGTTTACTTATATTCGAAATATGTACAGTGTGTACATGAATGGTAGGATATGAATGGTTAATTCATTGTTTTCCTTGCTTTCAATGCGACAGAAATATTTTCTGATTAAAATAATCGAAATTAACCTATGATAACAAATGTAGAATTTTGCGCAAATATATAAAAATTGATCATCCTTATGCTAGTTACGCGTTAATTTTCATTACTTTTAATATTATTATCGTATAATTACACTTTCGGATGAAAATAATGTACATAACATGACTTTTTGTGTATTCAAGGAAGTTTATGTATTTTGTAATTTATAAAAGACAAGTAATTTGTGAATTAATTTGCAATAATTAATTTTAATTGATGATTTTTGATTTTGAGCCGATCCTGAATGATGTCATAATCGACAGACCAATGAGGCACTCTGCGAATTAAGTATGCAACGTCTGACAACGCATTTTGTGTATCCTTTATCAATCCTTACATATAAAAATATAGTTTTGTCAGTGTACAATATTATAACAACGAATCGTATGAAGCATCTCGAAAATAGTTTAAAGGAACATCAAATTTACATATTCTAATCAATTTATTTTATACAATTCGCAAAGAATTTAATTCAATGACCAGTCTAATATTCTATATTGATTATCAGTGTTATCCAATAACACGTTTATGCGTTGTAAACAACGCAGTTCTATTGGTCGGTTATATGCTTGCTGTCAAATTCATGACAAAAAATAGACACTGTAACTGTACATGATTTTTAAATTAACACACACTACGGGTTAAAATAAAATACTTAAAAGAAAGATTAACAAAGTAACATTCTATGTTGATTTCGTTGAAATACAGTTATAATGTAGGACTGAATTAAGTATTTGTTGCAGAAAATATATTCGTATATTGGACTTCTATATTTTCAAATGTCAATATATTTTTTTATTTTTAATATTACATATGTATTTTTGCAAGTATTTTGAAGGAAATAAATAATTTTTATGAAATTTGTATGTTTGTTATTATTTTTTCAACGAGAGAATGGCTATCCACTCGTTCTTCGACGAATTTTGGTTCGTTCTGCGCATCTTAACTGTGATTAGTTCAAACACACTCCGTAACTAAGAGTAACACGCATGTGCTTTTACGATATTTTTAATACCGAGCGTGTATATTCAGCCACATAATTTTCAAATCTATGTTTTAATATACTTTGAATACGATGTCCGTATCCAAAGTATTAGTGTTGAATTTGAAAATATATAAATAATCAGATGAGGTAAAAAATATTGTACCAATCCTTGTTATAACAAATACAATAAATTTATATAACACAAATAATACGTAACGTTTTCACTTAAATATACTTTCAATTACAATTTCTTTGATTGTGAATAACTGGAGCATTTTAATGTATACATTTAAAAACATATATATGATGTTTAAAAAAGATATGTATTTACAATCAAAAGGATGATTTTAAATATTTATGTATTATAATAGAGTACGTTATTACTTATAGAATTATTTATTGTACACGAACAAGTATAATGTAATACATGTTATATGCTTCCTAAATAAAAATATAAATGAAATCAGGCTTGTTAAATTTTAGTTTTAATCTAAAGCCATCCCTTCATCATCATCATCTTTCTTATCAGGGCTACGTGCTGGTGAATCTTGTTTAGTCTTTTTTTCCTCCTGTCCTTGCTGCGTTTGTTCTTGGCCAGTCTTAGCTTCAGACTCGAGTGCACTGACGAATTCTTCAATGTTTCCACTGGATGCGGCATTGACAGCATCTGGTCCCAAACCAAACTGACGGATGACAGGTCCCGCTTGGCCTGACTGCAAAGCAGACCAGAACATTGATAGCGCCTGGGAGAACTGGGGAGACAATAGCGTTGTACACAGGTGGTCCCCTGGTGGTAAGTGCGGGCTCATTGCTCGCTCCAAGCTTTCCGTTGCTGAGATCGCCGCAGGGATGGCATTGGTCAGCTCAGTTGCTACGCCCCTCTGCCGGACAATAAGCTGTGCTGTAGGTGGCCGAAAACAACAAACAATCCCAGAGAAACTTCCCCAACTGCTCAGCAGAGCGAGAATCTCCGACAGCCAGGAAAAGTTCATGTGGAAAACAGTATTAAATAATGAAAAAACCATGCCCTTGTCCTCTGATTTTGTTATATTATTTTCCCTATATTTTGTGTTTTAGTTACTGTCGATACCACTGTCTCTATGAAACAATAAAAATTAACACGATGTTACAATGCTACAATTCCAAGCTCAAAACAATTGTTATGCACGCATACACATTACTGATTTCATCTTTCAGCTATATGTTTATGACATTTTAAAAGAAATCATAGCACAACACGAAAGCAATAATGTAAAAGCTTTGCTACTGAAAAAAATCATATAAAACAAATTTTAATGAATTCCTTTTTCCATTTCCTATTTTATTTGAACAACTATGAGATGGTCATTAAGTATAACTTTTTTTAACAAAAGAACATTTTTTTCTAATAATCAAATAAATATGGTAACAAAAATATATTAATTACCATTTCTTGCATGTCATAAACAATCATATCACAGATATTTGAATTAACAACTCAAACTTTTATAATCATAATACATAGCATAAGAAAGATCTTCAGTGTTAAGGACAAATATATATGATTAACAAAAAATAATTTCTTACAAACAGTATAGTTTTAATTGTTATAAATATTATGTATTCAGTATAAATTGATATGTACATTTATCTATATGTTAATTTTTATATAAAATACCTTCTGATATTTGGTGTTGTAGTTTATAAAATATTGTATTAAAATATAGTTTTCAAATAAACAAAAGAAAAACAAACTATGAATGAAATTGTTTTGCTGAGCTTAAATGGTTTGCAATATTTTTAAAGCATCAACTGGCTGTCGTTTCAAGTACATTATCAAGAATATCATTTTATTCCTGATAATGATAACAGCTATGAGGAAAGATATAATTAGTCAACAAGAAATTATATACCATATGTCCAGATATATATATAACTTTTCCCCCTTTTCTTACTGTATTGCTGCTATTTATATAATTTACTCCAATATTACACCATCTCAATTTTGGTTAACATAATCAGGTGTGTTTTTTATTAAGACAATGAAGTACAAACTATAAAAGATTTGTATTGTTGCTACTGCTAATAGTAAATTTATAGGTACAAATATGAAGATAAATTGAATATGAATGATAAAAAGAAGAAACTTGTGTAAAGATAACATATTACATTACTGCTTTCTATCAAAAACAAATTATATGGTTAATTAAATTGAAAATACATTGAAAGCAAATTTCATCCAGTTTAGTTACTTTGTTACTTCAATTTTAAATTTTGCATAAAGCTTAAGCTTGCAGGCATATACTATTTTAAATGATTCTGAAAACACAGTAAGCTTTTACCTAAATTATAAACAAAGCATTTATATATAATATTGTAGATAATCTGAAAAATAATTTTTTGCGGGTAATTCATTTTAGAAAGAAGACTAAAGGCATATCTCATAACTTGTCATTCACATTAAGTAACATGTATTTTATTTATGAGATATTACCTTGTATCTTATAGGTATTACCTTTAATTTTACATATGTATAAATATAAAATATTGCTGCAATAATCTTTAAATTAAAAAGCTGTTTAATAATAATATTGCTATTAAATAGTTGAAAACTTAAACGCATTAATACATACTAAAAATCATTTCACAAAAAAGACATTACCTGAACACCAGATTCTGATCCCGTTGGTGTTGGAATTCCTGATAAAAAATTTTGAAGTTTACTAAGTAGTACTTTATTTCTGGTAGTTGTTGTTGCTCCAGATGTTGATGGAGCAGTTGTTCGTGTTGATGATTTACTATCACCTAAATAAGAGTGTATATATGCAATGAATGTACATGTACCTTATTAAAAATGTCTTACCATTAGGTTTTGGTGTATCACTAGTAGATGATGGTGAAGATGTAACTTGTGCTGACATTGGAGCATTTGTAGTAACTTGAGATGATGTAGTTATTATAGAAGCTCTAGTATTTAATACACTTTGATGTCTGTTCATTGTACCCAACAAACTGCCTAATCCATCAATTGGTCCTACACCACCAAACAGCTGCATTAATTGCTGTTGCGACATATTACTTAATAAATTTTGTAAATCCCCTTCTGGGTTTGTACTGCCACTCCTTTGAGAAGCAGGAGTTGGTGGATTATTAAGAACTTCATTAATTTTTCTACAATATTCTTCATCTTTGTCTGTTTTAAGATCCTGTAAAAAAATAAAATATTTATTGAAATAAAAAAAAGTATATTAGAATGAAGTAAAGGAAATAATATATTTTACAATATTTCAATAATGGGAAATTAACTTGTAAGTATAATTTATATGCAAGGTATTTTGCATACAATATGAAGAAACTATGAATGTTTATGTAATTATAATATATTGAATTCTGCAAAGCATAAATCATATAATTTATATACTGTGGATTTCTATACTTTGTATATATTGATGTACCATAACTAAATAAACATCCACAATCTAACTGTCAACAACAGTGATATTCAAATTTATCTTACCTGGAGCCAAAAGAAAAACTTTTTGTTTGATGACTTGAATCGTAAAAGATATACTCTTCCAGTTTCACATTGAGGAACACGTTTAAATTCACAATCATCAGGAAAAATAATTAAATCCTGCAAGAAAGTAAAAAAATGTTAACAAAAATCTTGACTGTAAATTTAGAAGAAGTACATGTAATATATATCCTGAGATATAAAATTTGTTATTATTTTCGTAATATAGCAAAACATTCGTACATCTTCAACGTTCCCAGTTGTACGATCTTTCCAACACAAATGCATTAAAGAATCGTTAGATTGATAAACGTAAAGTTGGCCTTTGCGTTGGTCTGGATAAACTATATTTCTTTTCATGGTCATTTTTCCTGCTTTAAATTCGACCAAATTTTTCGTACTACTACGGGAATCAGTATTTCCGAATAAACCTCCTCCTGACATGTTTAATTTTTTAAATAACCGGTTTGTTTTGATAAATATATTTAATCTTAATACACGGGTTAATTCACGTTACACGACGCGTTGATGACACTGCACTTTAAAATGGCGTGTTACGAGATTGGAAATCTAATGTTCAATTTCGAAATATCTACACCACGTAGCGGCGAAAGCAGGAAATACATGTTTTGTGAACGATAGTGATTTTATCGACAGAACACGAACAGTCATGAATTACACAGATGTAATGTAAGCTTCCGTACGTAAAGAAGATTGTAGAGGGAAGAGCTTTTCACTACCAGCTTTAATTTTGGAAAACCTAATATGTAAATTTTCAAACTTTTGAATTTTCTCAACTTTTAACTTTCTAAATTTGCATATTCTTAAATTCGCAAATTCTCAATTACAAATACTTAAACATCTACATTTCTAAAGTTCCAAATTATCGCACTTCTGAACTTCTTATTCTTTATATCCCAATATTTCAAAATTTATTTTCAACGTAACAAATTTCCAAATTATAAAAATATTCAAATCTCCTGATTTTCTAATTTTCAAATCCAAAAGTTTTCAAATTTTCAAAGATTTATATTTGAAAATTTTTGAATCTCTAAATCTGATAATTTGATTTAGTTCAAACAGACAAATAGTGTAACGATATATGTACGCCTATTATTAAATTTTCTATACAATTATACTTTTATAGATCAAAATGTCACTACGTCCACTTACCGTGCCAGATACGCGGCACCTGTTTCCCAAGTATCAATTGCTCAGGCAATTAACACGTTTAATAAAAGAATTAATACGTAAACGATATTTATTTCGTAAGATATCTGATGTGCTGTCGTTTTTCCAAAAAGGAGACTTTGTTGAAAAATCGAAATGTACCCGTAACAGGATAACAGATAAGTTAGGAAGTTGTATTGCACGTGATCCCAAAGGAATCATGTCAAGGTAACTATATGTATACACATTTCCTTTTTGGAAAATCAACCTTTCGCTTCAAAAGATAGGAGGACAAACAAATCCATCGGGGATGGTTGTATACTTCGTTTTCCATGACCTGGGTCAATCTGGAAATACGAGGAACAAGATTTTTGTTGGACGAGAAAATTCCGATACCGGGAGAACGAATTTCCCTCACTATTAGGAGGCCATGTTCTAGCGGAAGCTGAAAATCCGGGAGAGCTTTGCCCGTGGGATACTCTCGATTCAATGAGATCCTGCTAAATCCCGATCAGAAATCAGTACTATGGATAAATATACAAGCGCAATTCTATAGTGAAAATAAATTGGTAAGTAAAATGAAGTTGTCGTTATTGCAGTGAGTGATTGTGTGTGGAATCTTATTGTTATAATTACATATTAAACTTTTAATATTTATTGAAAAGGTAAAGCAAATTATGAATATACAATACATTGATATCACATCATGTGAAGTTACATGTTTCGTAGGATATCACGTGAGATCATGATTAAGATAGTGTATATGGAGGTTAACATTTGCAACAATTAAGTAATTGTTAATAAACAATTGTGAAATCTTTAGCAGTGAAACAATTAACGTGCACATGTGTATATATAGTGAAATATAAACTTATATAAAACACGCGATTGCAAAATTTTTAAAAGACAAATTTATGTACATATAGTGTACATACGAATGACAATAATAGATTATAAATTCTAACCTAAAATACGTTATACATTAATGAATAATGAACGTTTATAAACGTTGTGGTATGGTTAGAATTGTGTTTAATAACTACTTTGAAATTTGTACATATTTTATTCATTTTAATAAATATTTAAAGCTGACATTTAAATCAAAACCGATACAAAAATTGAATGACCTATTTTTTTCCCAGAGAAGTGAAATATGGGTCAATTTGACAACTTCTCTATTTTTACAGATTTCTTCGATATTACGAAGTGCAATTTACTGATTGTAATTTATATAATGCAAGTTTCTATTATTCTCTTTTTTGAATAGAAAAAATAGGGCAAAGTGTATAAATAGGAGAATTGCCCTAAAGAAGTTGACAGCATCGTTTCTGAGGCCCTGGTAAAGAAACTCTCCTCCACTCCTCCAAGCTGGTATTTTCCACGGTAATTCTATCGTAATTTCGATCTTTTCCACTGGTTCTATTTCAACCAGCAGCTTTCCCTCGGGAAAACCTATCTACGTGATTTTCTGTTTTCCTGATTTCCGCGGAACCAAAGAATCTTTCTCTGTGCATTGATTATGCAATTCCTTGTGTACGTGTTTTCAATCACTAATAACGTACTTTTGAGGAAACTTTCGATTGAACGTCCATTTTTTACACGTTCTTTGCAAGTTCAAATCCAATCAAATTTTTTATCAATATTTTATGCACTCACAAGCTGCTAGTCAGAAAATAAACAAATATTTTATTTTATAATATTTTAAAAACTTTATAATCAAATTTACTATTTATTGACATTTGACAAAATGTGTGACTTTTATGGTATATTTTTTTGTATGTCATGTATTTGTGAGAGTGTAACAAGGAGTTAAAAATTGTTTAATCGTGAACGCATTACTAAAGTGCATAATTTTGTTATGAGAAAAAAAATTAAGTTCCATTTAAACATTGAAAAACATCTTCAAGATTTTAGAACCTGTAAAATTGTAAAATAATAAAACGAAGAGTCTTTGAAGATTAAATCCAAGCGTTTTTATCGACAAAATTTTATTTTTTTACAGTACTCATTGCATTCGATGAACGATCAGATATCTGAGGTGGCAGCTGCTGCATCAGTAGGTAGAAAAAGTGTCAATTCGTCCGAAAATCCAGGACTAGCGTACCAGGCGGTCAGGACGATTCAAAGTGCCTCTATAACAAGGTGACCGGAATTCTGATTCCCTTGGGATTCTCCCGGGAATGGAATAGCCGCGACAAGCAAGGTGATACCGAAACGCGCGCTCGTTTCACAGGGTAACAAGCTCGATGGAGGTTCCCTGTGAATGGCAGCATCCTTTTTACCTCTATTTCTGACTGATTTATTGAATATCAATAAGAACATGACAATGCACAACTTTTGGGAGGCCTCTATAAAAATATTCGCTTGGCATATATTAGTAGATATTATGGTATATATTATAATTAACTTGTTTTTCTTTTAAATAAAACAATATTCTTTGCATTAAGTGTAACCTCAAAAACGTAGAATTTAAATTTACACTTTTTTTGCACAGTCGTGTAATATTATGTGTTAGATTAAATCATCAATCTTATAAATATTTTAAAAAAGGAGAGCTATGGTAAACAAATATAGTGTAATGTATTTATGTATATATTATATAATACATTAATCATGTATTTTATTAACCCTTAACCTTAACTACATTGTGTTGTTAGAAATGTGGTATAGAGGACGTTCGTTATGTTGGCTATTAAAGTACAATACATCTAATACAATACTTGAGAATTATTACGTATTATGACTACTTTGTACGATCTTCTTCCCTTACAAAATTGTTGTGTGCTTATTAAAAATAACAAAAAATACTAATTACAAAAATTATTCTACTATGTAAAATAAATATGATAAATATAATCTTACTTTTTTAAAGATATTAATTTGGTATATCCTTCAAAGGGAGAAGCGAATTTCCTCGTGTTCAAAGGAAGAAAAGGAATAGGCGGTAAGTTATCAGGAGTTCAGGCTAGCTGAAGGTATCCTAAGGAAACCGAGTGGAAGAGGGTGGCTTTCGCTCAACCGCAAGGGTTGCTGTTCGATAAAAGGGTGGTTATTTAGGTCTGGTTGATACTAGAATTACCAACTCCGTGAAATCTCCGTTTTTACATTTGTTGCTTTAAAATTACTAACATTGCCTATATATTTTTTCAGAAATCCAAAGACACAGAAAATTATACATCCCCCAATTTTCAGTCAATAGCGTTAACTCTACGATGTCAGAATGCGGAAAAAGAAATAAATGGTTTATACGGAAAAGAATAATATAGTATCGATCGCACGGGAAATTTAAAAGAAGATATACTTCACGTATGTACAACATTCAAATTGTCAATCTTGAAAGAAATATTTAGCTAGACAATTTTTAAGCAAACCATTTCGTATCCACAAAACCGAATTCATTTTTCCAGGAATTTAATATCACGATATTGGAAGGGATTGATGCTCGGTCCTTGATGTAGGTCGATACCTGGAACCTGGAAGTTTCGACGGTGCAATCGACACGGTTCGATGAAGTTACGAGGGCATAACGTTACGTATAGAACGTAAACGTAAAGCGAGAAGTGTAGCACGTAAGTCGTAAACGCTGGTAGTTGGTAGAACGGCATCCAATACGGATACAATCGCACCTAGATGTACAATGTACGTACACCGTCGCGTTCCTGAAACGTATAAAGTTTCAGCAACGTCAAGTGGTAGTAGAATGATAGAATGTGTACAGCCGAGGAAGGATATTCGAGTTTTACGCTCGAAGCGGTAGAAGTTAAAGAGCGTTTCATACGAAAGGACCCTCTGGGTTTCATCGGAAAAGCTCCGCCGCGATTCACGCAGAAACGATAAAACGGAAATGAGTTTGTAACTCGGAATGAATCGGGAATTATAGTAGGTTGAAATTTTTCTTTCGAAAGTGGCTGATTTTGTGAAATATTCCTTGAAAAATTTTATGCGAGTCAATAAGCGACGTTTTGTATTCGCCTGCAATTTTTATTAATGAAGTTTTTTATTTTAAGACGTTATAATTTTATGACGCATTATAAGTCTTTAGGTTTTTATTGATTTTACGAAAAAGAAATATGAAAGCATGAAAAGATGAAAATATATAAATACAAATTTAGAAACGTTTTTAGAATAGTTGTACGTCTAGCTAATTTGTATCCGTATTTTTCTGAAAATGTACTCTCGTAATTAAAGTCCTAATTTTTGGAATATAACAACATGTACCAAACAACTACGTGGATTTTCAGTGTAAGCCATTGTACGTATTTTCGCAGTCGAAATACGCCTCAGGGATCTCGAGCTATTGTTCCTTCTGGCCGTTCCTGAATTCCTTTTTTACTCCTCGAATTTTGCACCCTTCTCGTGCTTTCTTCCCTCTTGCACGCTTGTTTCTTCACTTTGTTTCTATCATTGCTATTTTGCTTCTCTGCGGATCCATCTTTCGTCTTTTGTACCTCTTTCATCTTCTTCCATCCTTTGTTTACTTTTACTACGAAGCCATCTTCTTCATTGTTCGTTTCTAAAACCATCCGCTACTTGCACTGTTTTGTTCCTACACGACTGTGTACAGTAAACGCGTTCTTACTGGGGTCCTTTTTGTTTTCCGAGAGTTTTTTATTATATGTACTGCAGCATTTTTCCATTTTTTAAAGTAAAAGGGAAAAAATTTTATGTCAAACTTTTTCTGAATTTTAACAGACAAAATGAATTTTAAAAGTGCAGGTTCAGTTTAAATATTTAGAGAACAGTTCTATTTTTTATAGGCATAAGAGTGTATCAGAAAAATGTAGCAAAGTTGAAATACTTTTAATGAAAAATGTTATGTACGTCATAATGTGCACAATGACTTAACTGCAGCATATGTACTTTCATATCATTTCAACAGTTTATATCCATATAATAAATAATTATACTAAACTACCTTGCAGTGGATAATATAAGACTACGATGTAGTGAATGACGTACATTATACATGAATTATTACCATGTAGTAAATAATATAAATACATGAATTTACTACGTCGTAGTGAATAGAATACACGAATTAATCAGGCAGTAAATAAGTGCACGAAATAACCATGTAGTAAATAATATAAGTACACGAATGTAATAAGTAATTTAAGAAGAATGAACCCGAAAGTACGAAGTTGTCGAAAAGATATCATAATCCTCGAGAATGTCCACCATCGCCCCGTGCAGAGGCCATAGAACTGTGGTTCAAGGAGACGCTCTTAAAAGGTCAAAAGTTCGTTCCCTTTGCGTGCACCCTGCGTGACATCTTCGAGGGTTGCAGGGTACTGCTGTCGCCTGGCAACGCCAGTTGTTCGACCAGAGGACGAAGAAAAAGGAAAGAGAGAGACGAAAAAAAAGGAGCGAATAGCCGATCTTGCCTCTTGCATACTTTCCCTCTTTCCTTCTTCGTCGTCTCTCTACGTTTGCTTCGTTCGTTCGCTTTTTCCACCGGTAGCTTTATTTCCACGCACCACTCGACTCATCGCCAAGTGCTAGGCGCCACCTTAATTGGACCGAGCAATCGTCGAGTTTCCCTTCTTCCTTTGAGGGCCGCCAGCCTTGTGTCCCGAAAAACCATCCCCCTGCTTTCAAACACCCTTATGCTTCCTCCACGGAAGGCCCTTCTTCCCTCTTTTAGCTTCGCTACTTCTTTTTCAACATTCTGAAATACTTCACAGAGGGAATCTTAATATCCTCCATCGTTTGTGCCAATCCCTTGATATTTCAGCTGCAGTTTATCGATGGCGTCGTTCTACGTTGCGGAAGAACGTTAAAATGTCCTTACGGGAAATGCTTTTCAAGATCGAGTTAATTTTAGAAAGATGACGTACGATGCGGTAGTAAAAGATTGGTACAGAATCTAAAGGTTAGGTTTCTAGGTCTTTAGCTCGTTGTTAGGAGTTTTATGCCTTTGAACTTTGTGAATTTAGCGATTTCGAAATGTGGAGTTTCAAAACTGAGTTTGGGACTTTGAGAATTTAGGACTTAAAGAATTCAAGAATTTTGAGTTCTTGAATTTTGCAAGTTTGGGACTTTGAGAGTTTTGAGCCTATTGTCTTACTCGTAGCTTCGCCTAGTCGATTATGTCTAGATAAACAAATTCTTGCTAAAATGATAGGTTCGGAAATTCAACCGTGTTAAAACTTCTGCAATATATCTAAAGCACGCTCCTGTAAACTTCCGGTCGAAAGTTTACATTTAAACCTAACTTAACCTCTCCCTACTGGAACTAGGTCACAGTTGCCGTTCGCTGTACTCAAGGGTATTCACAAGTACAAACTTGTGTATAGGGGGATCCTTTTGCCCGTTACACTACCTGTTGTGTAGACCTCCTTTACACATACGGATCCTATGGGGCGTAGGATATCGGAACGCACCCTCGTCAAGTTTCCCATACGCATGCTTATACACACGTTCCACGAACAGTCGTTTTTCTTACGGGTGTTCGTTGCACAGAGAGTATTCTCTGAATTCAATAAAATGGTGGAAGGTAGAATGTAGTCTCGTAAACGGGTAATCTGCTATTCAGGTCATAAGCTAGCACGGGTCAAACCAGGACGCCCGTTTTCTCGGTATCTATAACGGATTCTCTTCTCCTGCCCTAGGATTCCACGAAATATTGTGGGTAGAATGAAACGAAATAAACTTGGGCATTTTATGAACGAACTGTAACGTGGTAGGTGCTATTGGGCTAGGTATTTAGGTATTTGTATCTAGGTATTATTCAGCTAGGTAGTTTGGGTATTTGTAACGCATATTTAGGTATTAACTAATTATTGTGGCAAATTACTGTGGTAGTGCTAGGGAATTTTGGGACTTCACGAGGTTCGGACTTAGGGAGTATGGATAATTTTCAAGTTTGGTACTTTGGGAATTTGGGACTTAGGAATTTGGAAAATTTTCAAGTTTAGTACTTTGGAAATTTGGGACATAGAAATGTGGACAATTTGCAAGTTTGGTATTTTGGAAATTAGAAATTTTTACATCGACTTTGTACATAAAAATAAAGGTTTACATCTCTGTATTCGCATAACGATGCGTGAGCCATAATACGTATGACGTCGGATGAAATTTCAAATGAACCGAAAGGAATTTAAATGAAAATAGTAAATAGCCCGTTTCAACCCTCTATTCCCTTTCTGTCCTCTCAATTTTCCATTTCCTCTCGGTTGCAGCCCCCGATCTCTTTCTTCCCTCGTTGTCGGTTCAACCAATCCACGTTCCTGCATCGTGCACATAAACTCTGCACCGGATCAATGCACCTCGCGAACCCACTTCCGTTTCATGGACGGATATATATAGGTGGGCACGTGCAACAATACAGGTACATAAACTGCATGTGTGACTTGTTTCATCGTTCCAGCATCGCGTGGAATAATGATTAATCATTAATAATACTGACGTTATTAAGCATTAACGATACCGAGCATCGTTAAACATTTACCATACCATTTGTACAAAGATGTACAGGAAATTCGTAATTATTTCATGTTTTAGTTAATATAGACAGTTTTTGATTTACATATTACTTTTTCTTATGTTTCATAATTAGTTCAAATTAGCTCAAATAGTTCACAATTGAATCTATTTGTATTTTTAAGTAATTAACACATACGATATACATTCAATAATTCATCAAAACCCTCACAAATTAAAAAAAATTTGCTAAGTACACCCTGGTGCTTCCGAACTAATAACTCCCCGAAATCCGAAGTTAAGCGTATATCGACCCACGAACGCAGATATTTATGACGGTAATTAACGTCGTCTAAATTTCGTGCATCTGGCAGTGTCTTTAAATAAAATTATGATCGACGCGAGGGTATCATCAGAACACGATTGTTATTCTTCCTGCGGCAAAGATGTGTTGGATAAAGATAGCGCGGTTACAACACTGCTTCGCCGTAGATACTCACCTTTCACGGCTGATTTTTGTCTGGACCCACAATCAGGGCAGCAAGATGGTAGACATCTGCCGCCCATCTGCCAGTAACTTTCCGGGGAATCCTGATGGACAACGGGGCCACCCCTCTAGATCCTCCCACCGACAAATGCTGCGCAAGGTGTGCTACCCGAAATCACTGGCAACCCTGCTTCCTTCGGCCATGCGATCCGAATCGATCGATACGGACTTCAAATAAATTGCGGATGTTCGTTAATTTGGAGTTGGAAGTTTTATGGAGACGAACGATTAATATATGTACTATGTTATTTGGGGGTTGGTTATGTTTATTGATGGTCTTTATACGTTCAGTATGTTGTAATATTTATGTAATGTGAGGATTTGAAAAATTTGGAATTTGATGATTTAATCCTTTGCGCTCGAGAGGTGACTCTCACTCACCATTTTATTTAATACAATAATTTGAAATAAACATTTTTAACTGACTCTATAATATGACATGTGTGATGTATAAACACAGTGAAACAAATAATAGTGGAAATTATTAGTAGAGAAATAATAACCTCAAAAGAATTCATTTAACTTTTTAACTAATTTTTAAAGTTGCTGTTTGCAAACAGTCAAATTACCTTCGAGTGTAAAAGTGTTAATTTGGTTGTTTGGAAAAATGACAAAAAATCTCCCTAAAATTCTAAAATGACAAAAAGTACTCTATTTTCACCCCAACGCTATTCAACGGTATCTCTAGTTTAATTAATACCAGAATCGAAAACTATACCCAAATTTGAATCCGTGAATATTGATAAACCGAATATAGACGAGGATAGAAATATAGCAAGCATCGTCGATTTGGACAGTGACCCAGAATGTGAAATCAGTGGAACGCACAAGCGTGCAAAATTATACGGGAAATCGGTAGTGTTTAGAGCGGAATATATGTAAATTAAGTGGAGCGTGGTTTAATGAGATACTACACGCGGACGATCTTTTAACGTCATTACGCGCATTGTCGTTTGGCTCGTGGCAATGTAATAATAAGCACCGTCTGTTGCGATATGAGTCTAAAAATATGGGAGAGTCCCTCTCTATCTG